GAGTGCCAGTAGCTGTTTGGTATTTCTACAAGGCCCGAGTCTATATAAAGACACATATGCCTTTCTCTGCAGAATTCCACAGATGCTTTCGGGACGTGGACAAGAATATTTATTGTCCCAGATGACCTTTTGCAACAAAAAAAAATGCCAGAACACTATGATTACAAAACAGGAGCATGAAACTGCATTATGCTAAAGAATAGCACCGGAGAAAAAAAAGCCATTTGTTTGTAGCCCTCCTCTCTTTTCCATCCTTTGGCCTGTGTTCTAACAAAGCTATAAAAGCCCCGCATGTGAGCGTGAAGGTTTCACTCTTGGATCCCTTACAAGGAGAATGACAGGCATGCAGCATGTGTTGGTAATGTGAGTGTGTGTGCCACAGGCAGATCCCCAATGCAAACAGCCAAGTCTTAGCCATTAGTTCGGCTGTGAGTGATGGCCAGGGGAGCGGACAGTCCGGCTTGGGGCTTTTCACCAAGCTGGGCCGGTGGGAATATCTGCTGTCAGCTGTAAATGAGTAGAATTGAACTTCCCCGCGAGTTACTGAGCGATAAGTGAAAGAAGCTGGAGCCCAAAACAACACCACACTCTGGTGGCTGTGGTCAAAATGCAGCGTGCATTGTGGTCTCTTTTATTCCAATCTGCACTGTTCGTGCGATGCGAAAAGACTCTGAGACTTCTCGAAGAAAAGCTGTAAGAGAACCAGACACCAGACTGACCTTAAGTTGCTGTTGCAGCTCACTGTTGAGGCGTTTCAGCACCGCATTGGCTTCCTTGTTCTTTCGGATGGCCATCTGGATTTCCCTTTTTTGCCTGGCCAGCAGCCTAAGAGGAGATCATGCAACATCACCTTTAAAAATAAACTTTAAAAACATTTTATTCCACATGCTGAAAGATAGTGTAAAAGCACAAAAACACTGCCTTGATGTCTTTACAGATTGACAAGGCTTTGAGATGAAAGAGGTGGAGCTCATTGGAGCTACACATCCATCAGCGAGACATCACCGGGGGCCACAACTGTTATTGATGGTCACCTTCTATTCCTCTGACAGTTTCAATGAGCTGTACGGTCAATAAGGAGACAGGGGCACACATGCTAGAGTCATTATGGTGAATTAGAGAGGGCCTCAGTGTCTGGTAAATTCCCCTCTCTGGGTGGGTTCCGCGGGATTTCATGACGCTTTGAGGAACATACGAGGACTCGCCCATACGCAGCAGGACCTGCGGCAACACCTGACGCCATATATTAAAGCTTCACTTGTAAAACAAAACAAAAGAAAAATATAAAAACATATCCACTACCAAAGAGGCTTAGGTCCCTAAAAAGCTAATTGCAAGGTAATCAGAACCTAGCTTAAAACGGGTTATAAAATGCTATGCCGGATAACTGGCTGTGACTAAACAGTGTCATTCTGTACTATTGTTGGTGTGTTCGCCTACAATTCAATAAAACCTCAAGCATTAACAGATATTTCTCAAGCTTTCAAGGCCTGTAACGATTATCTATCCTACAATTAGCACGCTAGCAGCTTCTAAAATTAAATTTGACTTCAAAGGATAAAAATGAGTATTGTTCAACATATTGCTGCACAATACCCAGAAATGTTAAGGAGGATATTCCCTCTATTTTGCCTAGCCTCTACAACTTTTTGTCTGCTTTAGCTCCTTTGCCTTTTGTCATTAGCAACAAATTAGCAAAGCCTTTCTGCTGACATGCCCGGTGATGGACAAATATTACATTGTATGTATTTGTCACTGACGGAAAAACAACAAACATACCAGAGGCTGATGATAAAATACAGTGATGCTAAATAAAACTGAAGGAAAAAAAAAACTATGCTATATTAACCCTATATTATCCTACCAGCTTTGTATGGTCGCTCATTGAAATTCGAAAGCAATGTCATTGCACTGAAAAGTGTGAGGATTTAAATGTTTCACTGACTTCTGACTCTGTTTGGAGGGGGTGGGAAATGGCATGGCGGGGGGAGGCACACTCTCCAGGTTCTGGCTCTCCGGGTGGTATTTCCTGCGGATAGGCTTTTGGGGTGGCTGATTGTGAGAAGTTCCAGAGATATCCTGAAACAAAAAAAAAAAAAAAACCCTATTTCAGCAGTTCACTGATTTGCACAACCGAACTAGGAGGGCCCTCGCACGTTCCGACCTGTTTCGAGGTATTTGTCAGATCTTCAGTGCTTGGTCCAAACCTAGGACTGGCTGCCTGCTCGTGAGATTTCAAACTGCTTTCCTCCTGTAAAGCAAACACAGGGGATGAGCAAAACCAAGACTCCAGACTTGAAAAAGTGTCGGACAGAAGAGGAAAGTGCTGATGTCATGATGGGGTAAAATGACACAAGAGCATAGCTATAAAGAGCCGAGATGAAATGCATCTGACCCGAGTGGGGATAAATCAGCTCCCTCTCCCTATAGGGAACATGATATAGTGCTCTCCAGACAAGGCCTCCTGGCTGCTCTGGGGCAACTCTAATGAATCCCCATCATTTAACTCCAATAGCCATTCTTCTTCTCTGGACTGTTTATACAGCAGAGAGTGAGGACAGGCCCTTTTCTCGCCAGAGTTCCTAATTTCCCAGTATTTACGGCGATATTCTGGGTAAGACGGATAGCATTCCTTAGAAGGCACCTTGTGGCTGTCACCCGCTCAGCGTTCCCCACATGGCAGCGCCGGGCGGAGTGAATTAGCCGGAGTCATTTGGAGGGGCTGCTGTCTCCATTGTGGTGACGGGGGAAATGCCTGGGCCGTCCTGATGGCTTAAACAGTCGGCCGCGGTCCCCGAGAAGCCGAAAAATGCACTTAGCCGAGAATGCAGCTGAGAAGAACGGTCCCTCAAATGCACCGCTCACCGGTCCACTCCCGGTCCACTCCCGGCCCCCCCGAAGGGCCGTATTCCTAGTGGGCTTGCGAGAGGGGAGAGTCTTGGCCAGGATGGAAGGCTTCTAGTGTTTAAAACAACGAGGTATTCATAGAGCGAGTGGGGAAATTAAAAAAATGTAAAAAAAAGATTTCCCTTGAAAAATGAAAAGGGAGTGATGGTTTGGAACATACAGATGTGAGACTACGTGGAGAGTTAACTACCTTCTTGAGGTTCCCACAGGGCCGGGGCATATTTCATGTCAAGCAAAGCCATCGAGAACAACGGCTAGAGTTCACTCATCGACTAAACGCGTCTCTGAGGAGGTTTGGGAGGTGTGAGTTATGGTTTGTCTCATATAGTGAGGAGTACACGTGCAGCAGTGCTCTTTGGGATCATCTGGCATGGCTGCTTTTCATTCATTTAAACATGAACACACCCAAAAAATTTAGTAAATGAAAGAAAGGGGATGGATAGAGGGAGCTTTATCATAAAAAAATATCAGATAAAATATTGGGTAAACACTGAGATGAAGAAATACTACATTTCTTCTAACAAACTATAAATTACGCCCTCATGAGAGTTGTTATCTTGAGTTAGCACTGGACCTTAGGGGCTGCCAGGAGTGGGCTTTTCCAGTCATTTACCAATTTGGCTCTTTTTCTCCCTTTTATTCTTTGAAAAAAAGATTCTCTAAGGGTTAAAACAATATCGAGAAACAAAGAGGAGCAGCTGTGCCCTCTAACTGTCCGATTTGTGGACGGTTGATTACAGTGAAGTCTCAGAGCTTTACTCCCATGGGCGCAACACAATATTGTGCAAAGCTGTCTAAATACAAGCCTTTAGAACGTCGAAAAAAGTCAATTTAATTAAGCCGACTAAATACAATAATTTGTCTTTTTTTTTTTTTATACCTGGCAGACAAACAACTGATTAAAACAAATATGTAGGGACAAAAAAACAAAAAACAAACATAACGCAGCACCATAATTATCAGGAGCATAATTCATCGCCCGGCAGTAATGAAGCTTGTGAAGGGGAACTGAAGCGGCTCACAACCTGCAGCCTGAGGGAACCAGAATGTTAGTTTTTTTATTGTGTGAACTATATGAGGATACTTCCTATTATGGGGATGGCCTACGTTGCCTAAGTGAAAGGTAGAGGAAATAGTAGCGGTTCTCGTGCACTGCAGATATAAAAAAGACCCTCTGAAAAACAGGAAGCGCTCTTCTGGAACGGCTGAAACAGCGTCAAGCCCTGATCACAGGCTTTTTTAAAAGAAAGTGGTCGATTTGAAAGTGACTGGCTGGAGGATGAGTGACACCAACGGGGAACTTTTACAAATCTAGACCCAACTTAGGCTCGCATGATCGTCTGTGACCATTTTAAAAGGGTTCAGAACATCGGACATGTTTGGTCTGAATGAGAACCATAAGTTCAGTTCACATGTCTCCAAACGCTCCAGATGTTCGCTGCTGCCGTAACCCCGGTGACACATTGACGAGATGGAAGAAAAAAAAAAAACACGCAGTGGAAATCTGCAAGGGAACACCGACCTCGCCCAAACATTCTTTTCCCTCTCTTTTTATTTTTATGCTTTATGAGAAGGAGGAAAAAAAGCAGCCTTTCCTCTCACCTCTTCCTTGAAGTGACTGAAGTCGGCGAAGTTGGGCTGCGGCGCTTTTTTCTGGGGAGTTTTCTCCAAGACGCTGGCGAAAGCAGACACCTGAGGGGGTGAATTTAAGGAGCCTCCGTCAGATCGTGAGAAATGGGAGAGCCGCTGGGATTGGGAGGAACGACCAAAGCATCTGCTCATCGGAGGGAAGAACATCCGCACACTCACCTGTGAGCTGGACGGCCTCGGAGGAAGGGCCGGAGGAGGCAGCGGCCAGCCACTCTTGATCCCTAAAAAAAGCCGCCCGCCCAGAAAGACGAATGAAAAATGCGACGTTATGCCTCGTTTTGATCTCTTCAATCAAATCTAATCTCCTGGACACAAGCTGCTCTCATCAGCACCTGGAGCAGACTGCCCCCGGCTCGACTTTCACCGGGCATCACGTGAACGCCCGTTTCCATTTCTGCTTTTGTCCCCCCCCGAAAAAAGAGAAGTTGGCGAACAGAACCCGATAGCTGGGCTGGGGACAAAGCCGCCTACTCTCTGAACCACGGGCAGCGTGGGGGGTGCGGACCGTACCTAGAGCGCCCTGCTGGAAGAGCTTGTTGAGGTCCAGCGAGGAGGCCCTGGAGTGGGACTTCTGCGGCCGGGGGGGAGGGGTGGGAGGCTCCTCCGCCTTTTTCATGGCGTCCTCGATGGAAGTGCTGGAGTAGGACCTGTAGGCCACACACACAAAAGGAATAACGCGGATGATAACAAGCAGCGTGCAACAAATGGGCACTGTTTTTTTCACCTCGGTCTGGTTTTGGTCCTCATCTGGGGGTCCAGATCATGAGGCGGCTCTGTGAGAAAGGGAAAATCCCACAACGCAAACGTCCTTATATGTTCAGCTCAGTCAACACCAACACGTGTACCTTTTTTAAATATACATATATCACCAGGATCACATGTGCCTAAAAAAACAAAAGGATCAAAACTACAAAAGCAAGACTTAACAACTTCAGCTAAATACCACAACAATCACACCACAAAACAGGGAAGAGTCCTTGACTTTGGCTCTTTTAGACACTTTCAGTATCACCTGGCCTCTCGGAAAAAGTCCCCAATTGCAGAGTCGCTTTTTCTCGAGATGCCGTCAAACTTTTCACACCAACATCTGCAGACATGGAGGGAAAGAAAATCGGATATACAGTACAGCCAAAGAGTTTCTGGGCAGTTATTTATTAACGGTCTGTTGGGGGGGGGGGGGTAATAGGCATGGATGAGTAATAAACACATAAAGTGAAAAGCATATGCTCAATTTCTCACTTTTCATTCTGTAAAGTTTCTAAATAAAAAAGGTAAAAGAACAAACAAAATAACGCAGCAACACATTTTGTCAGCATCCACTGAGAACAAGCTCAGTCAACGCTGACTAAATAGGAGCACCCTGTTCCCCCAAAATAAGCAACATTACAAAACTTTTGTTTATAGCCTGGTTAGAAATAAGAAGATAATTTTGATTAATTGTTTACCTTGTTTGCTGGTTTGTTCCTCTAGATCTTGCTTTACGGTGGCAAAGCTTGGTTGAACCCTCTCTGTGACGCTTTGATCCTGAAAAGCAGTTCACACCATCAGGGCCTGTGAAGACTGTGAAGCTTTTTTTTAAGAGTGCATATCAGGAAGTAAAGCTTCTGCTCTGGGTCAGCGTGCCGCCCGGGAGCACAGCAGGCTCTCAGACCGAGCCGGCCTGCCTCTCCGCCAGCCCGTTAGCGCCCCCTACAGGCGGAGGGGGGGCATTTCACGTGAACGTGTGAGTGAGGATCTGTCTCACCATCGGGGCAGGCCTCGGTTCCGCGTCCTCAAAGACAATCAGGGGCTCCGCGCTCTGACGAGGAAACCAGTTGTTTTAGTCCAGGCTGCAACCGAGGCACGAGCTAATAAATAAAAGAATGATCAGGAGGGTGTAGCCTTACCTCGGGGGTGTCGGGTATGTCCTCTTCAGGTTGCAGGAACCCGGGCAACAGGGCCGGGGGGAGGCTCTCCGGGAGAGGGTAACCATTCTTACGAGCCACTATCAAATGAAAGGCTATGCAGAACTCGGAGAAGGTCAGGGCTCCATCCCTGTCCACGTCGCTCAGCTCCCTTAAAAAGAAAAAACAGTTCTCATTACAGAAAAGCTGCATCTAAACACAGTATATCGACGAAATCTAACCCTGGGACTGTCTTATTTATGTGTGGGATTTAATGTTTCGGTAGTATTCAGTATAGATTGGTAATAGAAGATAAAAACTAGAACAAGTTAATACTTTAAATGGTGGGAAATTGACACTGAAATATGATCCAAACCCCCTTTTTTCCACATCAGACCTGAGTGTTCTCTCCATTTAACTTTAACTGACCTCAGACTAAATAACCCTGTTAGTGGATGTCTCATCTAATTTTTAAGCTCTATCAAAAAAAACCCAAACAAACAAAAAAAGAATATTGTGTGAATGTGTGCAAGCTTAAATATATATTTGGCTTCATTCAGCTTTCTTGTACTTATGCTAGGCTGAATCGTTATCAATTTGCTCCTGATGTTTACAGAAAAGCACAGCATGATCTACACGCCTCTGCTGGTTCTCATATATAATTCAGTACCTAAAGAGCACACACAACTTATTCTAGTGGAATATATCTAAAATCTCCTTGAAAAGCTGCTAATGTGATCATTAATTAATAAGCATATAAGTGTGTTTTTTAAAAAATTTTTTATCTTTTCCTATCTTCTCCTATTTTTTGTTATGTGAGATCCACACCAATAGAGTTAAGGTTCCCATCAAAGCTTCCATTTGTTCTGGTTCTGCTGTCAGACAGTCTTAAAAAGGCCATGTGTCACATGACACAAACACACAGGAGCAACTAGCCTAAATCCAAGCAAACTACGAGGAAACAAAGAGAGGGCAAAATGCTGTCTGCCCCCAAACACTGAAGCTTTTCGAGCCCCAGTTGTCATCTTTGTGCTGAGCTGCGCCAACCATAAAGCCATTAAAGGGCTTTCAAAGTTCTCGTCTACAAACAAAGAGTAATAAACACAGAGAAAATTAAACGGCGCAGGGCCAGATTCTGCAGCTCAAATTAATTTAATGTAGAGAGCTGCTCGGTCAAGAGGAAAATGATCAACGGGGGATCATGAGCCAGTTCAAAATGTTCCTGTGCCCGTTCCAGATGGCACGCCGAGGCCCTCCGCTGACAAACCGCCAACTGACCCCGGAGAGGAGCGGGGGCAGATGTTAGCATGAGTCAGCGCTTACCAAATGTGAGACAGCTCTGTTATCGGGAGCTTAGATTTAGTGAAGAAGGTCTTCGCCACGGCTCCTGCAAAGAGAACAAACAGCGCTTTAAAAAAAACACAACAACTAAACTAAAGCAACCGGAGTATCGGTCATGAACGGGCATGGTGGGGTCCGTACCGAGGATCAGCGCCCCGAGGTCGGGCTGAAGGCTCTTGAACTGATTGGTGTAATACTCCAACTGTTCCGCCGTGATCCTCCAGGGGTCGTCGTCGGAGTGGTCCACCGCAGCCTGCTGATCCAGCCGCTCCACCGAGGGAGCCTGAGCAATCAAAAGGCCAACGGCGTGTTACAGAGATGAACGCACGCTGGAGGAAGGTTTCCACCTGCCACATAACCCAGCCATCCATTATCGTAACCGCTTATTCCCTAATGGGGCGGAGGACTAGAGCCCATCCCCATGGTCAGTGAGCGAGAGGCAGGGTACACCCTGGACGGTACACCAGTCTATCACCGGGCCACACAGCAGAGACACACAGAGACAAACAACCACCCAAACTCGCAATTTGGAATGTCCACTCAACATGCAGGATTTTGGACTGTGAAAGGAAGCCGGAGAACCCGGAGAGAACCCACCCAGACACAGAACTCCGCACAGAAAGGTCCCGCTTCCCCCCAGGGACTCGAACCCAGTACCCTCTTGATGTAAGGCAATGGTTCTAACCACCCATGCTATATAGTGTATATACGATACCAAACATAGAAGCAGGATTTAAAGGTATATCAACAAAAAAAAAGGGTGTCTGTACCCGGGCCATGGCCGGATGCTCCGCAGCGGGCTGACCTCCGTAGCGGGCGGGCGACGGATGCTGCTCCGGCTGGACCGCCCGCCGCGGGGAGCGCTGGCTCTCATAGGCTGAAGGACAGGAGAGGAACACACCTTATTGCAGGGGAGGAACCTGAGTCTGACATGCAAAGGCTTCCCGGCTCATTACCCCTCAGCAAAATATGCAGTTCTGACAGAATAACAGATCTGAAGATCAAATGGAGGGGGAGGAGCACCAGCGCATGGAGGAAGGAGCAGGACGCTAACATGGAGTTTACTCTCATTGCAGCCCGATGCACAGAAAAGCCAGCACTGTCAGTTCTGAGTCCGGAATAATTCAGTTTGTTCCAGAAAAAGCGACCAAAAAGAGCCCAGGCTGGCCTACCGGTGTGCGCGTCCACCCCGTTCCTCTGCTGGGCGTAGGGGTAGCGTCGGTAGGTCAGAGGAGAGTGCGATGGGGAGGAGCACGGGGATCCAGGAGGGGACCAGGACTCCTGTCAGCACGGGGACCGGAAAAACTTCAGTTACATTTTGAGCACAGGCGTTAAAAAACGCACGTTCTTTCGAAATGACGCTAACACCAGAAAAACGGAGTGGGTATAATGGAAGTGTGGCTGAGACATGTTCAGGGTGTGGTAATGCCAAAGGGGCATTGGTCCACTCCACTGTCCTGAGTGGGCTTTTCTGGGACGAGGTTAAAGGAGCTGAAAGAATGACATGCTTTAGAAAGGGAAAGTTGTCAGTACTTGAAAAAGTACTGCTGGGACTATTCAAATGGTTTTTGGATAAGTTTGATTTAACAGAAGACCCTGAAGATGACTTATTATATATAATCTGTTGACGTAAACCGATGAATGAATAGTATTTATTTGTAAATCAGAAAATTTAGTGCGCCACAGTTTCTTTGTTTTTGTTTGTGTGTTTATATATATTCTCATCTTCCGTTCATGTTTCCGTACGTATCTTGTTTTCTTGTTTATTATCTATCCTTTTTTGTGTGATACAATTTACACCAAATGGTGATATGAAGCTGTATTGCATTGTATTATACTTGCACATATAATCAGTAACCACGTTGTTCTAAAAAAAAAAATAAGTGAGTTCTTTCCAGCTGTTTGTATGTTTGTCCTCTACAGTCCTTGTCAACCACTGTGCCTCCAAAGAGGGATTAATACAGCTGTCAACCAGCTCTAATGACTCAAAATTGTACTAGACTTGAACTCAGTCATCTTTGGTTGGAAAGACGGATACCCCTTCCCGCTCTTACTCCTTAGTTTAAGCAGAAGAACTTCGAATTTCAATTTGACCCCATAAAACGAACAAGGCTCGGCGTTATCTAATCTCTCAATAAAAAGTCATTTCCACAGAATATTGCACCACGCAGCTCCCTTATAATTTCCTGCATGTGTCTTTAGGTCTCGTTACCTTGTGGTCTGGCGCGCTGGCCTCCAGGCTCCTGAAGCAGCTGCGCTCGGCCGGGTTCCAGGGGACAGGAGCGGTCGCGGGCCCACACGGAGCGGGCGGAGCGTCTCCACCCGGGGGGGCCGCGGCGTATCGCATCTCCGGCTCATTCTGCAGCCCCGCAAATCTGGGCAGAGGTAGATCTACACAGACATTAGATCAGAGCGGTCAGTTTCTATTTTTCATTTGATTTTTATGTTTTTGTTTAGTTTTTTTGCTTGAAACGGATTTAAAATGAATCATTTAGGATATATAAAGATTATTCTTTTTCGGGACATTTTGAAAAGAATTACTTGTAACCTCTTCCATTGTGACCTTTGCTACAACTAGAAAAGGATTTAAGGAATTAGTCACCATGAGCTTCTTATGGGCCTTACACAACAAACCGGAGTGCATTCGAGCCTTCCAAAAACTTCCACATATAATCCATCCAACTATGCAGCGCCACAGAGAAAACAGATTTTTGTCTTTGGCTGGGCTTTGACTGATCGTGCGGCACTTCTAATAAGGACAAACCCACTTAGTTCTTTCCACGCGACTCGCCTATTCAACCAGATTAGCGCAAATCCGCCATGTTAAGATAATCTCCTGATCCCTTTTTTTTCCTTTTTTTTTTTTGCTCCCATAAGACGGCTCCTCCTTTGAGCAACAGACTTACTGGCGGTTACGCTCTCCAGGCGGATGGGCAGACCTGATTGGGCAGCCGCGAGGAGTTTCAGAGCCACGTAGAACTGAGGAGTACCAAAGTAACCCAGATGCTTGGCTCCACACACTTCTGTCACCTGCAAAGGAGGAATTGTAGAATTACAGTGAGACTAGAAGTGCTTTGTAAGCCAGCCTGGAAAATTGGGGAAAAACAAACAAACGGAACACACTGCATCCAGGTGATGCAGTGTGTAAAATCAAGAATTGTGTATACAGGGTGGATCTGGAGGAAAGGGTGTGCGTGGGATGAGCAGCCCAGTGGGACCGTTTATCCTGCACTCTTTTGATTGGACGTCCAATGACTGCTTTAGGGGGACTAAAGAAGATTAAGGTTTATGGGACAATCAAGAAAATACAAATCACAAACGTACAGTCAAATCAAATGTCCGTCCACACACACACACAGACACACACATGCACACACACACTCACTCTTCAATTAATTTCTACCAGCGCTCCAATACTATTTCTGATTCTTATATTCAGTTTCAGGTCATTTTCCTGTAGGCAAAGTTGGATTTTTATATAAAATTAAGTTGCAGTAAGACTATTAAATTATTTTTAATGTGGCTCTATGTTTGGTTAAAATCGCATGGGGGGAAAATGCTGTTAAACATAAAAAACTGGTTCTGCCGTTCCTGCCGGTTAGCTTATCTTAGCTTAACTTTATTGGTTGGGAATAAGAGACACCAGTGGTAGACAAACGTAGAAGTTGGAGACGTGCTTTAGGAAGATAAGAAGTTGAAGCCATTGCTTCTTGTCTTTTCTCTGTAGTCCAGACGGGGTTGTTAAACTAACAATGCAATAATAAAAGAGACAGAGAGCTACCAACTGTCCGTTAGCTTAAACCTGCATTCACACCGGTCAGCCCAATAACCCCCTTGTGTGGTTTTGAAATGGCTGTTTTCCAATTAAACATTTCTAAAGCAACTCTATTTCTAAAGTAAAGGTATTATAAACTCGTTTGGAATAACTGTTAGCATACTCAGCTAATCAACTGGAGTCAGTGGGTTAAGCTAACTTGTGATTGATTAAATCAATCACTAAGGTGGTCTTCCTTTAAAATGTAAGGCGTTTAGGTCGACTTTTGCCCTGCAATTGACATAACTCTCAAACTAAAGTGGACTTCATGACCCCTAACTTAAAATAATCTCAACAGCTTGAAATACTAACACCGACTGTTAGCTTTACAACAAGGTGAAAAATTCCAGAGGCTGTGTGTTCTTGTGGCAACAATGGATTAGCACCAGCTGACACATTAGCTGTCTAAAAACAAACAAAAAATGGCTGTGAGTGACTCACTTGACAGCATTACTGCATACGAAATGAAAAACGTTAGCTTTGATTGTCTGTTAAAAATAAGAATGACATGGGGTGGTGGGGGATTAATTCCCATGGTCTAATAAGGCTATGGACTAGTTAAGTGCATGTGGCTCCTGCTGACTTATGAGAGATTATTTATGCTTGACCTGCATTGTATTCATTTAACAGCTTTCACATGGACAGGACATGCAAAACAAGTGCTGTCGCTTTAGATCCTGAACCCACGGTGGAGGTCAGGCCTCCTGATTTGTCAGTCTGTGCACACGACGCCTGTAGGGAGGGAGTGATAACGAGACCATCTGCAAAGGTCTGGAAGAACCAGACAGACTGGTACGATCTACGGCCTCAGGAGGAACGTTCTGTCAAGCATAGTCTCATCACTGGTTGGATTTGGACAGTTCCTTTATTCCAAAGTAATAAAATGACCATTTTAAGAATCGCCGAATATAGTCTGGTACCATAAAGTCTTCAATTCAACTCAAACCTGACGACATCCATTTTGAGGTGATTACATTTGTGACTAAAAGATTTTTTGGGTAATTTGAATTAAGCCCCCATACGACAATGTATCGGACTGGATGGATGTTTGTTGCTTTAAGTGGGAAAGCTCAGTTTTGTTCGGTTACATGAGCACGGATCCACACCCTTCTAACGGGAGCGTTATTGAACCCGGACGCCACTTCGTTCTGACGCCAGTCCGACCGGTTTGGCAGCTGCGTCTGCAGGTAGCGGAAAGGCCCCCATGGAACAAATAAAATGCCACAGGGAACATTCGCTTAGTCGGCAGTGCAAACAACAACCAATTGCAGCGCGGTGTTAGAACTGGGCTCTAGTAACTCACTTTAGCGTCGTATGCTATAACATAATCCATGTTAATGACTATACTCTTGTCTTAAACTCTCTGGGTGTGCCCATACACCCTCTTCTCTCTCTGATTCAGTAGATACACGTCTTCAAGGTCAACACACACGCACACATTTCAAAGAAATCTGCACAAATTAGGACCTGGCCTGTTCATGTCAGAGCTGACTGGCCAATAAGACTCGGTCGCGTCCAGTCCTCCTTTTGTAAAGGGGCCGGCCCCGCCCAGAAGATAAATGCCCATCACACCCGGATCTCGGGGCTCTCAGGGAGCAGATCCTCAGGGAGCTTTGTCGGTTAGAGCTTTACTTGTGACCAATAATGTCATATTTGTACTCTTGATCTACTCTGGTTCATTCTCAGACTTTCAACTAACAGCGTCTGTGAGAGAGACAACCGATCTTCCTGCGTCAGGAGGAAAGTGTGACGCGTTTCTAGTTCCCTGCTGCCGAACCCAGCTTTGACAAAAAGGGTCATTCATCAGTCTGTCCGGTCAGCTCAGGCCTATCATGAATTATTCACAAAGCAGATGATGTCAAACGCCGGCCATTTAGTTGTTTTTTTCCGACACAACCCGGGGACCCTGAATCCCACCATGAGGAGGACGTAAAGCTTTTCTCTGATGCTGGGTGACCTGATAGACCCCCCCCCCCGACCCTGCAGGCATCCTGCCACAGGGCCGAGTCCAGCTCAGAAGAGCTGGGTGTCAATAACCCCCACCATCCCCCCCACCCCCGTGCGGAGGTGGCAGCGCTCCAGGCCGGGCAGGAAGGAAGCGCAGCTCAATGCCAAACTTCCTGACGACCCACACAGACACACAATAGGCCGCCGCCGGCCGGGTGGCTGCCGGGGCTCCCGGGGACACGCGGTGCCACGAAATGGAGGCGGCAACAACTCGGTGTTGTTCACCCGAGCTGGAAAAAAAGAAAAAAAAGGTGTTTCTGTTCCTGCGATGGGTCAGCAAAACAACTGCGCCGCCGTGTTCAGCCAGTGAAAAGGCCACTTATCGCTGACCGTCAGGGGTCGGCCCCTTACAGAAAAACACTGTAAGAAAGAAGGGCGTGTAGCTTTTTTTATCTAAGTTTTTAAGACAGTTTATGGTCTTTTCCTTCCGGTGTGGGCAGCCATTATTTCACGTGCTGCTCACCGAGCTGCAGACTTTTCTCTTCCTGCACATCTCAATGCTCTCTGAGAAGGGTTACACGACAGAAACAAGCGATTTGTCGTCCCACCCGACGAGGAAAAAAGGACAGAAGCCCCCGGTGACGTCATTGCTGAGACCGTTCGTTACCTGTGCTGCTGGAAGTGTTGGACATGGAGAAAACAAACGTCTGCTGCTGGGCCTATAAGGGCTGTGTGGGCCATTTTTCCTTAAGAAAAAGGGCTAAGCCCAGCTTTGCAGCGTTCCCAGGTGCTTAACCTAATTTCTTCTATTTTAAACCGTCAGTTCACGAGCCCGGAGGTCAGAATAAAAAGCTAAACATCACGGGAATTTGTACTCCTTGAAAAGGGGCCTTAAAAAACAAAAACAAAAACAGAGAGCTACGGTCCGGCGTGAGGTCATTTGGGTGATTTTTGACTGCTAATGGACCCAGCCTCGGTGCCAACCTTCACGCTTTGTAAAACTTCCTCTCCCCACCACAAATTACAACCAACGAACCCCCACCGTACAAACCTGTAAACTCCCATCTGAGGACAAGCTGACCACTAGAGACCAAATGCACCGCTATATAATGAGGCGGCTTCCTGTACAACAAGGGGGTGTTGGGGGGGGGGCAGGAGGTGTGTGAAACCTGTCTCCCCTCACACACACACACACACAGTTGCACACACACACTCACACACACAGACGCACACACTGGAAATATGACTCAGAGGAACACACTGGGAGGCCACGGGTGGATCACTGAGACCCTGCTGACCACTGAGGTTTGGGGCCCAGCAGCCTCTCACACCTCACATCACGCACACACGCACGCAGGCAGACACGCGCGCGCGCGCTCCCGGGAGACTCACTTTATGCAGGGCTTCGGGGGGCAGCTGGGACGCGGTGAACAGCTCGGCCACTTTGCCGGACGACAGCCTGCCCGAGGCGTCCGCGCGGCACAGCGCGCGCAGCCCCGAGTAGAACCTGTGCTCGCGCTCGCTCAGGGAGAGGAAGCCGGCCCCGGACGCCGCCGCCGCCGCGGATTCCTGATCCATTGAGCTTTTTCTCCTGACGCATGGAGGGACCTGCCGGGAGAAGAGCCGCAGCCAACACACACATCAATACATCCCAGACTCCGGGCCGGCGGAGAGAAGGGAGGAGGGTGGTGGTGTGTGTGTGTGTGTGTGTGTGTGTGGTGGGGAGGCGGGGGGGGTGTTGGCAAAGGCGGTGAGCGGGATCACCTCTTACGGCAGCGAGCAGTGATCCCCGTGGAAAGCAGACCGCCCGCCCGGCTCCGGCTGGTCCACTCCTCCCTATTGTGGTCGGTTGTAGCACCGCCGGCGGCCGCCTGCAGGGGGCGCCAGAGCCCGGAGAGACGGAAAAACCGCTCCGGACAGAGGGACGTGTTGATAACGTCATTTTGGTTTAAAGAAAATAATATTAAATAAATAAATGTTTATTTATTTGATTTAGTATTTCTTATTTTTATATATATTATTTTTTCTATTTTTTATTTTATTTATTTATTCTTTTTTATCGAACTTGTAATCTTGCATGTAAATAACGTAATTTTGGTTTAAAAAATATAATATTAAATAAATATATATATATTTATCCTATTTTGTATTTCTTATTTTTATACATATATATATTTTTTCTATTTTTTATTTGATTTTTTATTTTTTTTATCTAACTTGTAATCCTGCATGTAAATACGTAATTGAGAAATAAAAATATAGTGATCTCTGACTGAACAACCCAGACTGAAAGTTATACTGCACGTGTGAATGGAATGACTCGCTATTAGGGAATTCGTTTTGTGTGTGTGTGTGTTTTTTTTCATCCCGTGATTAACAAACGCCTCAGTTGAATCTTTTAACAGGTCAGCGCAACCAAGCAAAACGCGATCCATCTTTTATTATAATGTTCCAAACAAACGACTCCGGCTGATTTGAAATAATAACAAAATCATACCTGCTGTTGAGGTAAAACTGGGCCAGGTGAAATAACACACACTTCCGGCCACACACAAGAAGAAAACAGATCTCTTGAGTTGTAAAAGTTATTTGATTGCACATAATTGGTTCTTGTAGTGCCGTAAATGAGTCAAACTGCCCACAGTCAGGGTGGTTAATGTTTGTTCTGTTTCTTTCCATTTCCTGCCAGTCATTTCAGTATTTTTTTCCTTTATATTGGCTTCATTGTTAAGAAAACAGAGACAGTGTTTAAAAAAATCTGTTTAACTGCCCCCCCCACCCCTTCTATTTTAGAATACATTATTTTAAAGTGGAGCCTTATATTACTGAAAGCTTTACTATATTTTTTTATTTAAGGAAGGAAAAGCTTATTTTGCATGCTTTCATTTAATTATTTTTCGCTGTCAATTTATGTCAATTAAGAGTGGACAAAGCCAAAGCCAGCTTTGGGGATAAAACATTTTCAAGTAGCAACATCACTGCATTAGATAACAAATTTCTCATTAAAATCTTCATCATTAAAAGGAAGGACGGGAGCATCCTGTCCAGAGTTTATCGGATAAAACCATTCCTGTTTCCGATCATCCTTTTGCAGAATTCATGACCTGGCTCTCCAACCCGCCTCTTCCCCGGAGCGGCATCTCTCTCACATCCCAACAATCCTCCTCACTCAGAGCGAGCTTCCAGGTCTTTGTCAGAAACCGTAGAGGAATCCCAGTCCTCGACTTTAAGAAAGTGTAAAGCTCACTGTCTGCCCCTTTAGCGGACTCTAATCCGCTGGACAAAGGCAAAACGTGAGGTCTAGGGGTCGGTTTGTGATTCTAACTGCTGATGGTTCTACCTCTGGCTTCATCACAGGTCATGTGTCCTTTACAGAAGATGGAGGACTCCCATTGTTCCTCATGTGGGAGTCTGTGCTCACCTGAAATTCTTCTCAGTTAAGTTGCTTTGCTTCCAGAAGCATAAACATACAGCTGAGCCTTTTTGGTGTTTGCTTTGTGTTCTTTCTCATCTTCCAAAGTTCTTCTCATGTCCTCCTTGGCAGAAACTCAACATTTGGACAGAGGTGCAAAGTGCATTTTTTTATTCCCGTAACAGGGCTCTTTCATTGAGTTGGCAAGGCACCATTTTGATATATCTGGAATGGGTTTCAGAGGTTTTATTTCACGGGCGTTGTTTGTTTTATGAAAAACACTTTATGGGAGCAGGCCATCCTTTACAATCACACGGAGCACAGTTCAGCCAGAGGGTCTGGTTCGATTTTAAAACTGAAAATACGATCTGCCCATTGAAAAATATGATAAATGTATTGTATGGATTTGGTGTGACCCCGCCTCTCGGCCCTTGTCAGCTGGGATAGGCTCCCCCCCCAATGACCCCGTTGGGCCTAAGCGCCAAAGAAAATGGACGGATTAAAGTAGATTAAAGGATCAAAAATGGAAACGTATCCCTTAGTCAACATTGTTTTTCATTAACTGCTGTGGAGTACTATCCACTGTAGGCGGTTGAACAATTAACCAAAGAGGCTGTCGGGTTAAATGGATGATTAACCTTACACATACAGTCTGGCTCCTCTGAGAGGTTTTGATGATTTACTGAGACTTACACTGGGAATATTTTATACTGAGAACGGATGCGACTTGCCAAAAAGAAATGCTTATTCAGACACAGAGTAGCAGTGGGCCGTAACCGGGGTACGGCCAGACCTCGGTTTGGTCTCACACGGGAAAGCAGACGCCATTTTTTTCTGGATTATTCAGCAGGTTTGGTGAAAAGCCTCACCCCTGTTTGGATAGTAACGTTTTTGTTTTTTTGTTTCAGGGCTTTTTGAGAGTGTGTGAGACGCTGGGTCACACGAACAGAGGCAGTCCGAGCACTGTGTTTTGTTTTTCTGGGGGGGGGGGGCACCCGTCTGGCTCCTCTGAGCAAACAGGAGCAGGAGGAAACGGCCGGAGCCACTTGACCGTGTCCAGGCAGTGGCGGGCACAGACTCCCGTTTGGCGGCCGGAGTGGGTGTGTCCCGGTTTAACCATTAAGCTCCGGACGGTTAAGTCCCCCCCCCTGCTGACCTCCTCAAGTCACTGAACACTTTTGGAGTTTCACCTGAGCCCTTCCAGTTTGTTTGCTGCTCATCGTCTGGGGAAATGTGGGAAAGGATCGTCCTCCTCTTGTGTCTGCCTTCTGCTGTGGTAGCGCAGCTCTGTGCCCCAAGTAAGTCACTTTTTATTTTGATTATAAATTATGATCAAGATCCTTTTCTATTCACGCTCAGTCAGACCAGTTGTGTTCCTGCTAACTGCGCTAATGTTCCCACAGCCAGTGGTGCGTCTCCTCTAATCTTTTTGCTGAAACACAGCCAGATTACGCACACAGCTGATGTTTGCCTGATTGCAGCTGCTTTAATTACATATAAAAAGTTAATAACATAGAAATATCCTATGTGTTTCCCACTTTAGATGCTCCCAATGCCAACAAAGTCCGACTCAGCATCAAAACGGCTCTTGGAAGTCAAGCTGTAGGTACCTGATTTATTACTTTTCGTCATGTTTTATTTGGTACTAATTACAGCTGTATGTATCAGATTTGTCTCTGTAAACTTAAAGCTCAAGTTCTAGTTTTTTGCCCGTTCTTCAAAAGAAAGGTTGAAACTGCTTCTACTCCCTCAGCTGGTTTACAGCAATCTTCAAGCTTTGTCACAGATTCTTGGTCAAACTCAGGTCTGGGCTTTGTCAAAGCCAAATGTTTCCCCTTAAAGCACTTCAGCATTGCTTTTGCAGAATGCTTGGGGTCATTCTAACTCAAAGTTGTGAACCTCTGTTCTAGTCTCAACTCTCTAAAGGCTGACATGAGTTTTCCTGAAGAATTATCCTATAATTACCACCATTTATCACGGTCTCGATTCCCTTCGATTTTAAAGACTTCCCGAATGGCTGAAAATCCCCACAGCAAACTGCCAACACCTCCAACCCAGTATGGGTCCACTTATAACAGATATACATCGTGATCATTCAATACTGAAATTATACATAAACGGAGGTGCAACCGAACAGGAAAGTGCTAAAAGGGTGAGGGAATTCTCAAGTGAGGACGTGAACAACCACTTTTTCCTCCTCATAATAACTGAAGTCCTTCAGTTATTATTAAAAATGGGTGCCAAATTCAGATATCACACAGGAAATACTCAAATAATGAAAATGACATAGGTTCTGTTTTAAAAAGAAGGGGATAATTGACTTAATGGTAAAATTACATGTCAGAAAAGTTGGTGAAAAGGGAAAAAAATTGAGGTGTGCGTTAGTGTACGCAGCAGATTGTGACGTCGGAGCTATTTTTTCTCAAAAAGAAACGTGTTTTTCACAGATGGTCTTGATTATTTCAGCAATAACAAATTCTGTCTTGGCTTCATTACAATAATGAATTTGTGTTTAGCTGGTCCTGCTTCAGTCCACACATGTCCCAATGAAACCACAAGAGTTTTGCACAATTTTCAAAAACAAATATGACATTTCCATTGCTGCATTTGCGGTGTTAAATGTTTAGGATGTGCAAATAATTTCACAGTTCAGCTCAAAACTACAAAACTGGATAAAATGCATCGTAACAAGCGTCCAGTTTTCTGTGAATGTTGTCTATAAATCTCCTCCGAGTGCACGTGACTGCTTTGAATGAGAGCAAGGTCCATCTCGTAATTTTCAATATCTTTCACATAAATTCACAAAACTGTTTTTGTTGCAGTATGACTGGAATGACGACGAAATGTTCCTTTTCCAAGCGACTCTGGCTTTTGCCATGAGGAACCACATCCAGGGACAGGAGTTCAAGTGAGTATCCTCCTCCGGGTTCAGTATTTCCTGCTTCTTGTTTTTGTTTGAGGGTTGCCAGTATGAAACCCGAGTCATGTTTTATGAGTGACGTGTTGTTTTGAACTGTCTTTTGAAACAGCGTGTCGAACGTCATCGTGTGTAATGAGACTCAGAGAGTGTCCTTTTGGTTTGTGGTGACGTCGCCGCTGGACCCCACGCGCCTTATTGGCAAAAGAGACGTGGAGCAGGCTGTGAGGTAATCCAATCACCACATGACGCGGAGAATCTAAATATTGAAAACGTCAACTTACATCTCGTTACATCATCTCTCCAGACTGCCCAGTGGGGAGACGGTATTAAATTATCCACAGGAATCAGCCGTACACCCTCACATCTGCATAATGCTGTTTTTTTCTCATTATCTGGTGGGAGATGGTTAATAACTGATGTTGATTTAATGAAAAACATGAACTCAAATATAATATTTGGTAAACATTGGAAAAGTGGAAGTTGTATTTACACATTTGCAACTTGTAAATTCACAATTTCTCTGACACCAGGGAGGGCAAAACCCAACAGAGCTGACCGTGTTTGATCTAAATAATCTTTCAAAGTAACATTTAGAAACCTCAGATTAAACCAAGACCAAACAACATGGCGGATGCCCCTTTTTATTAGCCAACCAGCTTGTCATCAGCATCCAGGAAATGCCAACGTTAACACCAGCTGTGCGTGTCTGTACAAATATAAGTGTTGTTGTGGTTAAATTTGCTAAATATAGCTTCTGTGTGCTACTAAAGAGCTTCAAAATGATTTAACCAGCCTAAAGCTGACCAGCTTCCCCAGTCCTCTATTATAGTTCAGTCACTGTGGCATTGTGGAGAGCAAGAATATGAAAATCGAACTGTTGTTTGTATCCCTAAATCATCTACATTTATGCAAAGGTCAAAGGTCATATTTGAATGGTGAATTCCACTTGTATTGGGATAAAGTTATGGTTGCTCTCTCCCCTTTAGAACTTATAATCCTGTAATAATAATGTAATAATTACTGTCTCTGGCTGTAATTCATAAAAGGGAATGAGTTCATTTTTTAATTTTTTAAAAATATCAGTAGAGCTGATGGCCAGTGATCAGCCACAGTAGTTTGGTTGACTGAATTGAAATTATAACTGACTGTGGTTCCTTGTCATCATCGAGAGAAGGCCGCCGTTGACAGAAAAGTGCAGATTCATCGTCTTAAATGCCTCCTTCCTGTCCTCTGCTGCACAGAAAGTCCAGGCACCGCCTGAACAGCGCCTTCCTGCTCTCCGACGCCACTCTGGAGTTCGTGGGCGTCCCCCCCACGCTGGAGGGGCCGGCCCAGCCCGACACCCCGCCGTGGCTCATCGTGTTCGGCGTGGTCATCGGCCTGGTCAGCGCCGGCATCGTGGCCCTGCTGGCGTCCTCGGTGGCGGAGAGGAGGCGGTGAGGCGGCAGAATTCTGAGCCCCGTCACGGGGAGAGAGACGGGAGCTGACCTGTCTGGGTTTTTTTGTGTTTTTTTTAATCCAGCAAGAAGAACAAGGTGACAGAGGAGGAAGACGAGGAAGAAGAGGCAGACGCACGGGGGAAAACGCTGGAAAACGGCTCCGCCACGGAGGGTGTTTATAACGTGACATTCTCAGATGAGGAACGGTTCACACAGATGTAAAAAAAAACAAATTATTTCTCTTATGAAGCTGCTTTGTTTGGAATTCGTTGCACTGATTGATATATTGGAATGTGCAAAGTCATGATTTTTTCCTTTGAGGAACGTCTTTTTTAACGTTAATACTGAGAGATGATGAACTTTAGCTCCCCGTGTATCAGGATGAGTGTCCCTCATCATTATATCACCAGCGTGCCCTCTCTGTGAGGAATCTTGTGAATCTCCAGTAATCATTAGCAAGAAACCGAGAAAAACACAAACTTGCTGTGGAGCGGCTATTTTTCTAGAGGCATTAATCTGTCAGGAACTGCCGAGTCAGCGCTGTAAAGTTTTAAGATGATGGGAGACATAAAGTCCAGCTGTGGTCAGTATAAAATTGATGGTAGGCGGACACTACAGCGCCCCCTGTGGGCCGTTTGGGAGTAAAGCACCAGAGTTTTCTCCTGTTTTCGGCCATTTTTGCCCACGGATGTAAACAAACACGCCTACTCCTGAGAAGCCACCTCTGAATGAACACACAATGGAAGTTCATTTTTAAGAAAAAGGTATGCCTCAATTAATCATCATTCAGGTTTATTTGAACCGTTTGAAAATCGTAAGTGACACTGACAGTCAGTTGAAAGAATGAGGTAAATGGATGAATCACAGTCATCAGTAAAGGTCCAAATCAGATGGAAATCTGGTAACAATTTTTGATTTTTCACCTCCATCTGAACACGGCGCCGCAAAGTCCACAGTTATCCAGAGAAGACATTAGAGCTTATTCGGAGTTTCAGGGTCAAAGGTTGTCCACAGTGGCTCATCTCAGGAATCTGCTGCTCTTCCTCTGCCAAGGAGGGAATCCAGCATCAAACACCACAAAAACAAATGGAAGAAAAAATTGGACCACTACAAAAAAACAAACAAACTTCAGTCTCACAAACCGACACTGTGATAAAATAAGCCAGCAGTCTTTTAAAAACTTTCAAGCATCTCCCATGTGACTCATGTCAAAGGCCCAACACAGAAGCCGAGTTTTCTCCACGTCTGAATGAATTTATCAAATTGAAACTTAAAAAAAAATCACACATTCACACCACGTGGAGTATGTTAGCTAAATAAAATTCAACAGTGTAGAGTCTGAACTAAAAACCACATTGCGGAGGCCGACCGAACCCTTGTGACTGGGAGTCTTATTCATCTGGAGTATATCACAAGAAAAAAAAAAAAGAACAAAAAGCCGGCTAAGTGTGTCAGGGCTGTCCTTTGATTCTGCTGGAGCCGCTGCTCTCGGCTCTTCCGTTTTTTTTTTGTTTTAAACCCCCACAGAGCTGTGGTGGATGCATTCCACATGTGCAGCTTTAGGTGGCACCATTGTTCTGCTGCTTTTTCCTGGGGAAAGAAAAAAAAAACTGACTGACTGTTTTTTCTCTCTCCTGGAAACATGAGTTTGGAATGCATGCATTTCCAGCCATTTTTTTAAATGTGATGTAAATTCGTGATTGGTTTAAAATAAAGAAAGAAGACGGCTCCACATTGGATTTGACATCTGCAGCCATCTCTTGGTAAACATTCCCACAGCTTGCGGTCAGAAGTAAGCTGCAGTTATTGCTCCTCTTTTCTCCGTTTTCCTTCCCTTAACCCTTCAGTCCAGCTCCCCCCTTCAGCACACATTTCCTCTGACCATTTAAAAAAAAGTCAGATTTAGCTCTGAAAGCATTCCAATCAATTTCAGAGGGACGAATGATTAAAGCCTTAACATTCCCTACTCAAGGGAGTAGGAATAATTACAAAAAAAAAAACAGCCAAATGCATTTAAGTGTAACACTTAAAACAATGTTGTTATTTCAGCACCTTTCAGAAAAATAAATGCTTTTAGAAAAAAAACCCAAACCTGACTGGCTGTCAGATTCCTGAATAAAATGATGTATTCTGTGAGTGAATCATTGTTTGCCTCCTGCCTGCGTTCTGGGCTAATCACAAAAGCGATGTCAGCGCCGCATAATAGCTTTTGCTGTTGTTCTGTCTGTTCAAAAAAGGTGGAAGATGAATAGAACTGGACACGAGTCGGAAAAAAACCCAAACACACAAAAAAAAGGGATGACAAATAAGCGTCCTGTGTGTGTGTGTGTGTGTGTGTGGGTGAATTTAAAGGAGGGAACGCTGCATTGTGCTGAGGGTTTTAAACCAAAAGCCGGACTCTTTTATTTCTTGTGCTGTGACCGTCCAGGACCCGCTGTGCTTTTCCTGGAACGGTGGTGAGTTCAGGGTCTCGTGATGTAAAGGAAAAACGGCTCGACTCCGTCAACACGTGGCAGTGAAATCTTTGCCCCGCTTCCCTCGCGAGGCGTTCGGAAATTCCTCAACCCGGATGAGCGCAAACGCGTTCCCAATCCGAACATTTCCGTGTGGGGCGCCGCCGTTAAAACTATCAATATTAAAGATCGCATTTCCTTGTCAATATTTCACGAGGCCTATTTTCTAACAATGCAGCTTTCAGGATTTAGAATCAATATTTAAAAAAAAAAAAAGAGAAAAGAAAAAAAAAAGAAGTTAATTTTTCATAACTTTGGCTTTGAAAGCCCCCAAGTGCATTATTAATATCAGTTAGGAGATCAGTGTGAACAGTGGCAGGTTCCATATGCATTATCTAAACACAGTGGAAGTGAAAACTATACACGGCGCCGGCGGCAGGGCGCCGCCGCTATGGCAGCTGTCTGGGTTCACGGGAGAGAGAGAGAGAGAGAGAGAGAGAGAAGGAAACAGGAGGATTTCTGTCAGGTAGTCCTTGCTGTGTTCACCATCCCTTCCCGTCAGACCTTTTCTCCTGCTGGAGTCTAGAAGTCCCATCTCTGCGGTTGCTTTTCTTTGCTCTGGTTCTGCTCCTCCGCCTCTGCCCCCCCTCCTCCCTCCATCCCTTTCTCCTTCTCCTCCGCCTCCCTCTGCCTCTCCTTCCTGCGGTCTCGGATGATCTCCACCAGCCTCTGGAACTTCTCGTTCAGCTCCTCCATGCCCCCGGCCTCTCTCCCGTCCTCCCTCTCCGCCTCGCTCTCCAGGGAGCTGAGGGACTCGGCGCGGGAGTCGCGGCCCTCGAACTCGTAGGTCTGCAGCGAGTCGTAGGGCGGCTGCGACAGGTCAAAGGTCACGCGGTCCAGCCGGATGTTGAGCAGCTCCTCCATGCGCAGCGGCTGCGGGTGGGCGGCGCCCGTTCTCCCCGGCGGGGGCAGGGACCGGGGGGCCGCGTCTTTCCCCAGGAGTCTGTCCACGCTGAGCAGCTGCACCCCCGCCGAGTACAGCCCGCCGCTGCCCCCCCCGCCGCCGCCGCCGCCGTTCACGCACGCCCCCAGGCTGCCGGGGTTCAGCGAGCCCACGATGCTGTAGGGGGCGCTCCCGTCGGGGTAGTTGTGCTCGGAGAGCGAGGGGAAGGAGGAGTCAGTCTCCATGTCGTCGGCCGTGCTGGCCTGGGTCTGGGACGAGCCCGGCCGGCCCTCCTGCTGATTGGACGAGAAGCTGGCGTGGCTCCGGCACAGAGACTCGTAGGTCAGGTCCGCCGGGACGCCGGCCGCCGCCGACTCTGCCCCCGTCGGGTTCGTCTGGGGGGAGAAGAGAACACGCTGACATCCACGGATGGAGGCAAAAAGGGAAAAAAAGAACAAAAAAAAAACATTCTTCCTGAAAAAAAAATAGCTGCAGCTATAATATGGAAAAATTCCTTAGAAGTGATATTCATTCAAAGTAAATGTTCTGAGGCAAGCTCAACCTGGTTTGAAAGCAAAGTGATCTGCTATGACTTCTATAGTCTTAAGTCATGTATAAAAAACTAACTGTCATTTCCATGTCTTTACAAATCAATGGAGAACAAAACACAATCTTCTCCCTACTGAGTCTTAAACTGAATCAGACACAACTCAAAAACAGCTCCTATGTGTGGCCCACCCCTCGGTACCCGGCTGAACCGTTTGTTTTCCCCATTGCTGGATAAATTCCGGATCTTTGTCCTGTGGATGAGCCAGTGTGAGTCCAGCTGCTGTCAGACGGACGGCCTCATGTTTAGCACATGGTGGACTCCGTGACTGCAAAGTGTCCACGGCCGCAGGCTGGAAAGCGAGCCCAAACCATCAGCCCCCCCCCTCCCTGTTTGGCAGTCGCTCTGAAGTATTGGTGCTGACATGCCGCGCTCGCTTTCTCCCAAACATGTTTCCCGGCGTTTCGAGCCCACATCTCCACTTTAGTCTCATCAATAATGACACTTCTCTCCGAATCTCCACTTGTTTTCCGACGCAAACCTGAGCCCTGCTGCCATGTTCTTGTAAGAGAAAAAAAATGGCTTTCTCCTGCAAACAAACCACACATATTCCGTTCTTTTGGTGTTTTTTTTGTTGTTTTGTTTTCTACTTGTCCTGTCACAAACGGGCAGAGTGAACATGCTAACTGAGGCTTGTGGAATCTGGGCTGGTGGGGGCTGGTGGCGTTTGATTTTTTTCGCTGATTCTGTGAAAGGTGTAACCCGCGTGAGCTCATTTCCTCGACCGTGTAAGGTTTGATATGCAATATGAGCGGCAACAGGCTTTTAACAGAAAATAAAAGGGACAATTTCACAGACTCTGTTTCTTATTAATAGAGCAAATAGTGCATTACAAGCCCGGACGAGCCACTCCTGAACCGCACTGCTCGTGCATCAGGAAAAAAAGCCCTTACTTCATTTATTTTTTTCCTTGTTTGGTGTCGATAGGTCCCGTTACATTTCTACTCAGCAGTTTTCCTCCTGGCTCTGATTTCACAACTCAAAAACCTGCATATAGAACGGTTTATTTTCCTCTTCTCGGACCGGTCGAGGGTCTGAGTTTAACAATAAGCGGTGCTGTCGTTTCTATTGCCGTGTCTAATAACCGTTGCTGCACGCAGAGCTTTTATATGCAAATGATTCATTAGGGGGAGTGTCCACATCTATTCACGTCTAACGATCTCGGAGGAAATAGGTTTCCTACGCAAACGTACAACAGCATGGTGATTTGGGTTATCAGAGGACAGCTGTGCACAGAAACAGATGTACAGATGTTGGAAGTACATCTGGACTACCGTGTTTAAGCAGAAGGAGCTTGCACAGATTTACATCCACATACATGAATGAAGAATTTGGGGTTATTTTGGGTAATTAAATTCTAATGATGGGATTCTGTTGAACACATACTGTGTTTTTAGTCTTGTTTTTTTTACTTGACTTTTGTGGAACCTCATTACAAAAAGGTTTCGTGTGTGTTGCTAATGTGAAAACAAATGATCGACAGAGCATCGCAAATATGATTCCACTTGCTTTCTTCTTTGCTATTTTTTGGCCTGTGTTTCCTGACCTTGCTCTGATCCTCTTTCTCTTTTCCACCAGCCGTGTCCGCTCCACCGCTTTCATTACTGTTTGTAATTGTGTTCCTCGCCGGCGCGTTTTCTGCCTCGAAACCGCCGAGGCTGGTCTCAGGGGAGCGCGGCGGCGGCGGCGGCTCAAAGGTGCTCTGCTTGGGGATGAAGAGGGAATTGCCCAAGTGACCTCCCGCGAGCGCTTGGGTGAGCTGGGCCAGCTGCAGGCCTCCCTCCAGCGGCCCGGCCGGGTAGTCCCGGAGGACGGGCAGCGTGTTGACGCCGTAGCAGAGGCGTCCGTACAGCGGGGCGGAGCCCGGACGCTGCTGGGGGCCCAGGCCGGGGCGTGGGTGCCGGCCCCAGCTGTACGTCCTGGCTCTGGGCGCGTTCTGCTGGGTGTACCATCTGCGCCGAGAGATAAGAGTCAGTAAAACGCACACACACACACACACCCACGCACGCGCGCGGTCGCACACAGCCACGAGCCACCACGACAAGGATAAACTTTGATTTTTTTTTTTTTTTTAAATCTTTGGGAGCAGCTCACATGTTCCTGTTGTTGTGCATGTGCTGTATTCTCTGCATGCTCTGCAGGGCGGTAATGTCAAAGGCTGAGGTGTCGGCCTCCCCTCCCCCCTCGTCATCGTAGGATATGATGTTTTCTCTGACATCATCCTCCTCAAAGGGTGAGTGGGAGTCTCGTTTCTGATGCCGTAATGACAGCGAGAGTGCACACACCACTACGGGGCAAAAAAAACAAACAAGAAAACCCACACACACACACACATGAGAACACACTCTTCGAATGCTACAAAGGCAACCTAACAAACACAAGCTCAGCATCTCTCGAGCCGGAAACATATTCTCAGTCCTTTGAAGGTCTTGGGAGAAACGGACAAAACCTACCCAGCAGTGTGGTCACGCAGGCCAGCATGGCCAGCAGAGTGACCAGGCTGAAGATGAGGGACGGGGAGGTGGACGGCACTGGCAGACACACGGTGTGTCTCTCCCACCGCCTCTCCTTCTGCCGGCCCCTGTCCTCGGTCTGCATGCCTCCTTGCAGACATGGGCAAATGGTCACGGTGACCGTGCCAGTGTTGGTCAGACCCGAGGCCCCGTCACGCAGCACCACTGGCACATAGAGGGTGAGCAGGGAGGGGGAGAAGCCAGGGAGCGGCTCCAATCCCGACTGAAGCACCAGACTAGCTGTCACACCTGATAACGTGATGAAAAACACACACACACACACACACACGAGGACATGAAGCGTGATCACAATATGGCAATCATGCATAAGGTTTTGATGTTGACATGTGTCTTATTTCTGCATGTCACGAGAAAAAACAAAAAATCAAACCTCCGGTTTCCTTGACGGTCAGGTTGAGAGCAGAGCTGGACTCTGGAGGGATACTGAAGTGGACGGGGGTGTCCTGTCCTCCCTGGTCTCTGTCGATGGCTCGAAGAACCTGAACTACCTGTGGAGCATAGATCCCAACTCTCTAAGAAGCCAACTTGGAAGTTCAGGATTGTCTCAGCAAAACAAGTCGTCTTCACTGGTCTGTCACTAAAAGCAAATGCTAATACAACTCAAACATTTCTAACATAAGCTGCTTAAGTTCTCTGATTTTAACTCCGAGAATGCCGAAACCTTTCAAAATGCTGTATCTTGCACTCGAGTCTGCTTTATTTTCTAGAATATAAATCAAGCCACTCACTGTTTTTTTATCAAAATGTTTACAATGCAAATGGTCAGATGAAACACAACTAGCAAATCATTTTAACCAAACTTAAGAATGTGCTGGAATGGAATTAAATTGAGGCTGGAATATTCTGTTACATAAGCTTATTACCTAACATTGAGGCAAAAAAAAATAAAAAAATCCCCAGTATACATTGTATGTATAACCGTATAAAACTAAGACAAAATATTCTGCCTCAACTCAATTGTTGAATCGGAGGAAGATGATAAAACTACAGCGTTGACACAAAACTGTTTAGGTTTTCAGACGGAGTCTTTAGAAGCAGCCTAAGAGAGATTGGACAAATAACAAGAGCACAGGCTTGAATTGGATATAGCATCAGGCAGCAAAGCAACTTAACAGAAAACGGACCTGACCGGGGGCACTGGAGTCACATACTGATGTTGTGTACTGTCTGTCCAGCTCTGGAGCGTTGTCGTTCTGGTCCAGCGTCTCTATGGCAACCACAACCCTCGACACAAGATTTGGGTTGTCTTGAGGAAGAAACGAAAAAAAACAACGCTAGTATTTGAAACGACTACGTTTTTCAGCGCTCGGGGAAATGGGACTTCAGCCAGCAGCGTGGCGTTTGCGGGGCAGAGGCGCTGTCGTACCTCTCTGCGTGGCGATGACTGTGATGTTATGCCACTGCTCCTCCTCACGGTCCAGCTCCATCACCGTGCTGATAAACCCCGTGTTGGAGGCGATGCGGAACAAAGCCTCCGGATCAGACTGGGGATCGATGGAGTACCTAACACACCACAAAACAGGCGCTATCAGGAATGGAAAGGGAAAAGAGAGAGAGGCCAGCTACAGGAGTGAGCGAGGGCGTAATGACCACCTGATGTTGGTGCCCTGCCCTGTGTCTGGGTCCACTGCGTGGACCCGGCCAACCGAGCAGATGGGGGGGCAGTTCTCCGACACGTCCAGATGGTACAGAGTCTGGGAAAATCTCGGGGGCTCGTCGGCGTTCAGGACCATGACCTGGACTGTTGCCTGGTCCTTAAAGGGGCCTTTTCTTATGTAGCGCGCGTCTACCAGGGGGTTCATGACTTCCACAGAGAAGGTGTACGAGTTGCAGCTCTCGTAGTCCAGGAGCTGTTGGGTGAAGAACAAAGCATTCTCAATAAGTGGGCGACACTTTACTGAAGGCCTCTCATATATGATTAATATGTTTATATGGACTATTTCTGACCACATACTGTAGAGCTCTTCATTATTCATCTGAAGTCGTTTTCCCACTTTTATTTATCTCTCTTCCATTTGCCACTTCCTTTTATATCTGGCTCTGATAGATTTCTGAGCAACTAATCACCAGCTTCTCCTACTTCTTCGCTCTTAATTTAATACTCTGCAGCACAATAATTATCTTTAAATACCCGGTGTTAATAAAACCCCTTAAATGTGAAAAGACAACCTCATGCCGGGCTGCTTTTAACACGACCTCCTCAATTCAAATGAGCTGCTGTTTTTTTTTTCTCCTTTTTCAAACAGCTGATTTCATGGTTCATAATAACTGCTCATGAATTGTTCATCATAAAGCTGTGATGCTCTGGAACTATCAGCGAGAGAAGGGTGTCTGAAGTGTTTCAAGCCTTAGAAAATGGAAAAATGGGTTCTTTTAAGCATTAACGCCAGACAATAAAGCCTCCTAAAAATGACTGTGTGTCCCTCACCTTGTTGAGCACAATGACGGCCTCTTTGTCTCGTCCGGTTATGTTGAATATTTCCGCCTCCTCTGCGTCCAGGATGGTGAAGTCCAGCTGTGCGTTTTCTCCCAGGTCGGGATCGGAGGCGGTGACACGGCCCACCTCCACACCTGGCGCCGCCAGCTCCGACACGGAGAACGACCACGCACCTGCCGGGGTTGGAAAAACAATGGATGTGGCCGTTTGAGCGCCGGCTCTGAATGCTGATGAGCACAGCGTTTGGCTCGATTTTGAGCCAAAAACAAGGCTGCTATTTACGTAACGGACGCAGCTGCAGTCCGACAAATATTTCATGATGGGGTTGAAAGCACTGTTCGCCCCCTTTTTTGGGATATCTAGTTTAATATGCGACGTGATTACATAAACCTCCCCACCAAACCTCACCTATAATGGAAAGATTCTGCTTATTGCAATATTAAAGTAAGGGAGGTGGCAAACAGTCTTGTAGAGTTAGAAATGCATTCTAAGGTCCAGCTAAAGATTAAACTTACTGTACATTATCTGTAGGCTATTTTCCATCCCCATTCTCCTGTGAAAGCTGAGTCAAAACCAGTCAGTCATGTTTTATTTCAAACTGTTCTCGGTTTTCTGATGAGACAGACAGACAGACAGACAGACGTGAAGACATCAGCCTCTATGAGGGGAGAGGGGCAGTCTCTGCCTCAGTGAGAAACGATTTCAAAGAAAATCCAGCAAATCTACGTCGCCTGGATTCTGGATTTAAGTCAAGAAAAACACCAAATTGCTCATAATCAGTCTGCAATGCACTGAAATGTCTTAAGATCCGTCTCTTCCCAATTAAGGGGAAAATGATTGTCATGCCAATCCACTGCAAACTCAGAGTCAGTTGATAGCTGTTCCTGAAGCACAGTGATCGATTCTGGTCGGGTTTAAAAGCAAACACCACCGGAGTCTATGAATGTTGCTTGAAATGGGTTTCAGACGGCTGAACACCCTGAATTTTTTATTTACCCTTTCAATGTCTTGTGATCTATTAGTAATCAGCCCACAGTCAGGTATCTCATACGGTCTTAATCCAGGTTAGATAGAAGCGGCAAAGAATGTTTTACCCCCGGTTTACAAAACAACAAGCAAACAAAGAAAAAGATTTCCTGGGTCTGATACCTTCCCGGAGCACCCAAAGGCAGAGACACAGCAGTTCACAAGTTTGGTTTCCAGTCCTGTTCTCATTTCTAGCTTGAAATTCTTTTTTTTGACAGTATCGCTGTGGCTTGTTAGATGATAATAAATTAATGTAAAATGCTGTGCATGCGCAGGGATCTCACAGAGATTAAACTGTAGCCAATGAGAAAAAATGGCCAAATTCTCTAGATTTGCCTTATCGCTGAGGATATGATATGGGGAGTCACACAGTGTGAAGACAAAAAAACAAACCAAACAGCTGAGGATAATAGCTTTATGCTGAAATCCGTGTCAAGAATGTTTATGACAATCTCAAAAGATAATGAATAAGAAAGGAGGCATTGCTGCCAACTATTTAATCTTTCAACATAACATATATAACATAAAAAATGTTTCGACTGAACTGGACTGCCAGGATTTTTCTGGCACTGATCAAACTAAAAGGCCTAAAAACAGCATTTTTAACCATCCATCCATCCATTATCGTAACAGCTTATTCCGTAATGGGGTTGCGGGGGGACTGGAGCCTATCCCAGTGGTCAATGGGCGAGAGGCGGGGTGCACCCTGGACGGTCCACCAGTCCATCGCAGGGTCACACAGAGACACACAAGGACCAACAACCACGCACACTCGCTCCTAAGGGCAATTTGGAAAAGGCATTTTTAACCGGTATTCCTTATTTTTCCGAGGTCTATAGTTATAGACAAAATTATTTGAATAATTTATATGTACGGGACAAATAAAAATAATAATAATAATTTGGATAATTTGCTAAATAAGTTATTGTTCCGAAGATTCCTTCTGTCATCTTCACAGGCTAATACATGCTAAATAGTATTGTTAATTTATACAAATTAATGAATCTTTTGATAAAAAGGTAAGAAAGATCCCAACAAAATGTCTGTAATATTATTATGGCAATTCAGAGAAAGTTGAAAGTTGATATATTTGATTAATAATGGTCCCCACAGCCTTATCCTCTTCACTAATGCCATTTTGGGACTTTTTCTCCCCAAAAAACAAAAACTACTAGTGTTTGCAGTTATCTCCGGATGCATCGAACCCCTTGTTTGATTTACTATAGTTAGAACATATCAGCATTCTCACAAGCTTCAACATCAGTGTTTGCTATCATTGTACATTTGCATGGTGACGTTTCATTTGGCTTAAAGCTAAAGAAATGTGTCAAAGCGTTTCACCGTTCCTAACATGATCACAAACATTAGCGTGCATGGAGAAAATGAACAATGCGAAAGCGTCCTTGCCACGGAGCAGCTGATTATCAGTGGGGTTATTTGGCAAACCGATTTCATCCAGAAACCGCTGGTAAATCAGACAGCTGAAATGTGAAGTTAAGGGCCCCACGCCTGACTATCTTTGGGTTCTGTGGGCACAGCGACTCACAGTCGGACAACTCAGCCTTGCAGAGTTAATCTTTTCTGCTGTTGTTGTTTAGCTTGGATAACAGTCCGTCCACTTTGCAGGCATGAGAGAGCAGCCAGTGATCTGTGGTGGGTTGCGTTGCTCACTTGGAATACCACGGTGACTTCTGCTCGTTGCAACGCGGTACATCACTATGCAGAAAAATCCAGACAAATGCATCTGGTTTCATCAAATCAGCCTCCCTCCGCCACAGAAAGACAACTCCAAATCATGCCCATCGCTTTCAAAGAGCATACTAAATGAGCCGTTTGCTTAAAGTGTGGCATTATTGTCAAACTGAAAATAATGGCCTGCAGAGAGGAGTGGGGGTAGGGGGGTAGAGGGGAGATACAGTCAGATATTGGTAAATAAATAACCCTGCCCGACATCTGGAATTATAATACTGCTCCTATAAAAGCGTATTGCAGCACAATATATCAACGTACAGAGGGGGAGCTTTTAAGATAAAGATGAATGGCAGTAAGCTGAGACTGTCGGGAAGAAAAAGTAGGAAATAAGAGGGCACAGAGAGGAGCTAGTATATAAAGAAATGCAGGGTGTGTCTGAAAGTGTTAGACACATTTTGCAGTGATTTTACTGTCTATTGAAGCAGAAAGCACTGAACTATAAGATGAAATATTAATAGCACGGAACAGGGAAAAGCTCGGATAGGAAAAAGAGGACATGATCTTTCACTCTTCCACCTCGAGACGCAGTCCATTTTGAAGTGCAGGGTCCACCCGGGAATGCTTATATGAATGTCGATGCCGGTGCCTTCTGCAAAGGTCGTGTTATTAGGGAATTAGGGAAACAAATGAGGAAAAAAGTGGACTGACAAGCTGTTTAGCTACGTCGGAGTGAAGGCCTTACGTTGGACCTGTCAAAACAACGAGGACCCAAAGGAGGGCAAAAGATGCCAGTCAAAACATATCAGTATGCAAACGCCATCTCAAGACATCCAGTGGCTCCCATCCTCCCTTGCTCACGCTGGTGCATCTCCTACAGCTACAGGGATTGAGAGCGAGCTTTAACTAAGTGGGGCCCGTGATAAGGTAATGCTTACTCTTTCTGAAGTGAGGCGGGTTGTCGTTGACGTCGCTCAGCCTCACGGTGACGGTTGTGGTCCCCGATAAACCGCCCAGATGCCCGCCCATGTCTTTGGCCTGGAGGACCACCAGATACTCATCCTGCTTCTCCCTGTCCATGTCTGGTACCGCCGTCCGCAGGACGCCTGGTGGAGGGGGAGAGCGGAACATACAGCAGAAATCACGACAGCTCCGGCTTTCACAGTGACACCGTGTCCCTCCTCATTACCGTCAGGGTGAGTCACCATTTTCATGAATTGTTTTTTTCATTTTTTTTTTTTTTTAAAACGTGACTTGGGGCCACCTTTGTTTCTGAGCAGATCGCATGAAAGTCAAGCTGAAAAGGCGGTTTGGACAGGCTGAGTGGTGGCGCGTGGGGGTAGGGGGCTGGTGCTGAAGACGCGGAGCGCGATCGTGGGGTTGACGCTTTGAGAGACGGCGTAAGTGTGATGAGCGTGGAAGAAAAGCATAAACGCACCTGTCTCGGGGTCCACGGAGAAAAAGTCCTGGCCCTGTATTATCCCGTAAACCAGGCGGGCGCTGTTTCCGTAGGTTGGATCGTCAGCGTCGGCGGCTGTGACCTGGACGATGGAGGTGCCTGTGAAAGAGTGAGGAAACAGTCACTTAAACTGCCACTATGCCCAAAATCTAAACTTTAAAAGTAGATCAAATATGTTACAATGCTCACATAATAGTCTTAACAGCAACTGTCTTTGCTGTCACTACAAAAAAAATGATGCAGCCTTGGCAGATTTTTGAAAACAATATGATTAATTTGACATCTGTCGTATTCAGGATGCAAACGGTTAATTGGAATCTTAACTTTCCAGCTCAGAGAAGGTGGCGGTAATTGTGCTCATTGGCCTCGCTGTCTGACGCTCGCTGTCAGTTCGTCTGTCAGTGTGTCAGTCCATCACTTTAACGCCGACTGAAATGTCAGAGTTATCGTTGCAGGGGTTGTCAGCTCCGCGAGGTGCTGTTCGGCAGATGAGTTCTAATCACCTTGGCGATGTGAGGACTCTTCATATACAGAGCCTCTGCCCTATTTGGGGGATGGGAGGACCAGTAGACTGTAACGTGCTGCTGAAACCGTTCTGCTCAACTTGAAACTCTACATTTCCATCGCATGTGGAATTGCTCAAGGCTCCGTCACGGAGCCCATTCCATTCTCTTTCTGCGTGATGCCCCTTGGTGCTGTTCAGCTGCCTTGATGGCAATAAAGGCTGACAAGTACATTTCTCCAATAAAAAGGAAACAAGACTGAAATAGTCACTCCACCAGGAGCCTGATGAAGTGGCTATTGAATGATGAGCCCAGTCCTCAGCATGATAGTGAGCTTTGATTAAATTAGGTTAAAATCTTGGCAATTTTTCTAGATTCTAATTTGAATTTCAAGACCGAAGAAGAGTTTGGAAACAGCCACGTGAAATATCTATCACTGTTATTCATGGTTTTTAATCTACTCTCAGTTGGGCTGCTCCACCTCTTCCTTCATGCGACTAACACCGTCCAACTTTTTCTCTCTGCAATTAGTTCAAAATGCATCTGCCAGACTTCTAGCGGGCTCAAAGAAAAGACAGCAGACCAATCTGGCTGCGGTTCAGCTGCACTGGTTTCCAAGAGACTCAGCATTGATTTTGAGACGTTATTTGTTCTTATAGTCCCCCGTGGTGCAGCTGCACAGATCATGACTTTATAAGTTAATCCCTGCTCTGCACCGCCAGCTTTCTAAGGTCATCACGGCATTGTTTCTTCTCAGAGCGTCACTCATGCCTTCAACTCGAGGGGGACTTTTCGATCACTCAACCAGGCTTCCATTTCATAAGAAGCAGATTTAAAAAGCTAAATCTCCTCTTGATTTGAATTCTGCCTGATGCAACGTGTTTACTTTAATTCAGTGGAATCAATTTAGAGCTGAGCGAATTCCAGGTGAGCAAATGTCACACCTTTCCATAGAGCCTTTTCATTTAGTCTGAGTGCTGTACCTATGTTGGCCATCTCCGGCACCATGGCAACGTAAGGTTCATTGGGGAAGACGGGTGGGTTGTCGTTGATGTCCTGCACCCGGATGACAAACTCCGAGGAGGGCTCCAGCGCCCGGCCCGTCTCACGGTCCGTCGCCGTGGCTATGAGGCGATACTGGTCTTTCTCCTCGCGGTCCAAGGACTTGGTGACGTGTATGTTCCCCGTGTTGCCGTCGATAACAAACACAGAGCCCACCCCCTCCCCCTCCAGCTTGTACTTGGTGCGCCCGTCTCCTCTGTCCATGTCCGTGTGGAGCTGCGGAAACAAACACAAACACGGTGAAGGGGGGCCACGCCGCTTCCCGGCACCGACAGAGGTATCACTTCTCTGCCCTCTCTTATTTAGTCCCGCTCGGGCGGAACACGTGAAATGGATGAGCTGTGTGAAGACGGAACGTGTTTTGGTAAATCCGAGAGGAATGGCACCAGGTGCGGCCGATACATATGGGACCAGGATGCGTACTGATGCATGCAGCTAATGAACTCACTGGACCAAACATGCCATCAGGGGTTTGTCGAGGGGCAGATCCACATCCAGGCGGACAGTAGGCCCCGCATACGCCATGGCTGCATCTTCACAGACACGTTCTGATAACCCAGGCCGAATCCATCTGCAAATCTTCCAGTCTCTCCCCTCCATCTGCCCCTCTCATCCCCTCCTCGCGCACCCATCTGCCCGACTTCGCCTCTACCTTTTAAAGCACCTCTCTCCTCTCCCTCTCGTTTCTTTTTTTTCTCCTTTTTTTCATCAAGTTACGGCGGTAACACAGATTGCCCATCTGCTCGCGTTCTTCAACCCCCCCCCCCTTCTCCCTATGCGTCTGTTTGCCTCTGTGGTGTAGCATCTTGGATTGGTTCTTGATGGCAGAGGGGATATTAGTGGCAGCTAGATAGGTAAAAGGCCAAACACACAGAAATAGACAGAGAAGGAGATTACTCAGCCTTCATCATGCTGAGCTCTCTGACCAGGAACCCTCACGTCTCTCTTTCCTTAAGGCACATCTGCACATGTTCATAATCCATGCGGCTTACTCACAGCCCCTGCTGAGGACCCTGGATACCGAGAACTGAAGGCTTCACTTCAAGGATGCGGCCTCTGTTTTCAAACTGACGAGCGTTTTCTTCCCAACGATTTTTTGGTCTGTTTTTCAGCTAAAAGCCAGACAAGTTGAATGGCTTTAGCGCTGAGCGAGCCGCTATTAGGGCCGTTAGTACGTCGCAAACAGACGTGTGCTTAAAAAGTAACCAGGATTTGTGGGATGCGGTGTCAAGGCAGGCTCCAGGAACGTAAATCAATCTTTTTAGCAACACTGCACAGCATGCAAACAGAAGAGAATGAGAAAAAAAGGGAAAAGGTAGTGTAAAATGTTAGTGTTTTTCTGTGGCGTTAAGTTGAAGCTGGGGATTATATCAACTCATAATGGCATCCCCGACAAAATTGCAGCATCCCTATTCATCCTGACACCCACATCTTCTCTCTCCTTTCTTGCTTAAAAAGCAGCTTTGATTTTGATCCCACTCCACACCACCAGCCACTCGGTGCCTTCATCCCTCCCCTTACCCGACGCGTCCCCCATCGCCTTGCCACTTTCCACCCAGACCTCCTCTCCCCACTGTCTAATTGCCAGCTCAGTCCTGCTGTGCCTTGTACAGCATGGAAAAACACTCTCCCAGTAGGGAGAAAATCCATCCGCCCCATTCCAAACAAAGTCAAAAAAAGAAAAAAAAAAAAAAGGAGGAAACCTTCTTTGCATCCCTTTACCTTCTCTGTAATCTCAAATTTTCCCCTCCTCTTCTCACTCGCGCAGCACATCCACCTCCGGGTTCATATCTGCTTCACAGTGCCTTCACTGGCTGGGAAAGTCTTGCTTCTTTCGCGCCGGTTAAAGCACCTGTGATTTCAACTGTTGATAGAACACCTCAAATCTTGCTACAACAAAGGGGGGGGTTTTGACAAGATCGTGTCTCTATTTTTGGCAAAGCGAGCCTCCTTTGAGGGGAAACTTCGCACTTCCGACCGCCTCTGCGGTGCGGGAGCACTTTGCAACGTGAACACCAACATCAAGGATGCGCTTTGCAATGGGAGTGAGCGGTCTCATGCGACTACTGATTGCTTTAACACCCCTCCCTGACTGCATCAATAACAACTAGAGAGGGAGATTAAACATTTATGAGCTGTATACTGCACTGGTAAGAATCCAATCTAGACTGTCACTATAAAGTATGGCGCGAGCCACAGAGTGGCTGGCAGCCTTCCCTGTTAGCGTTACAGCTGATAGAATCCTGCTCGGACCCCGGCGTGGCTGCCAGCGGCCGCATTAGTGAGTGAGTGGCGGACTGTGAAAAGCTACAAGTGAAACCCCCCCACCCCCCCTCTTGGGATGGAGCGGTTCAGGTGCACCGTGGACTAAATCATCTCAGTCACTTCGCGACACCAACGGCAGATGAAGGCTGGCTGGTGGAAAAGCTTGAGTGTTCGAGTTAATATTTTCGCCACGCTTTGGAAACAACCGCCGGAGGGGGGGGGGGACCTGTTCCTGTTCAAAGAAAATACGTGAAACACTCCACTCGTCAAGATGCATTCGCATATTTGAAGCATCCGCATAAACGGCCTGATTCCCTCATATTCCCTCACTTGGCGCTTTGGGAGAAAACACATTCCATTAGACAAATTAGGAGGAAAAATCATTAGGGGGCAAAAAAAAATCTTACTATCTGAGGTGCGGGTCGCAAATTCCAGCGAGTTGGAAAATTGGACTGCCTCTATTTGCATTAATATAACTTTGTGGGTTATTGAAGGAGAAGTCAAGTAATGGGAAAGGGGAGCAGGCACAGAAGACTTCATGGAATAAACTTTATAGAGCTAATTATTCACCTATTTTCAGGAACATTTCTTTCCCCCCTCTTTAGCCATTTGGCTAAATTAACAGAAACAAACGTGAATAAACTAGAAATTCTCTACCACTGATGCACGCCTAAACAGCATTTTTTCTGCCTTTTGCTAAAATATACAACCGCTCGGCTGTGGGGAAGTAAATCAATGAAGCCTTAAATGGTTAGTCAACTCAATTTCTTTTTTATTGATGACAAATCTTCTAATAATCTGTTTAATTTTCTACGTTTCTATCCCTAAATTTTAGACGGGAAATACCGATTCAACTCCATTACATAAAGCCCGGCCGGGAACACAGCTGGTTGCTGGCCCCCCCCCAATCCACCAGGCCTCAGTGTTGAGGGCTGAGAGAGGTTTTCGGGGCGCTCTTAAACGAGCTCTTCATTTTCCCTGTCGCCTTCTAAAGCCGCCGCTCTGCAGCCTGGACACCTGCTATTCACACTCCCTGGCCTGTGGCAGGTGCATTTCGGTGGCAGGTGATAACACACGGGCGCTTCCAGCAAAAGCTCATTTCTGGTGGCGAGGTACCTCTCCGAGCACTTTCTTAACAAATTGCGCTCTTAAAAAGTGATGGGGGAAAAAATGAGCCGTTTCAGGGGATCGGTGGGAGAAATGTCCCGAGAGCCCCCCGCGGTAAATGACACCCGTGTTGATATTCCAACGTGTTCCATCTCTGCAAAGTGCAGCAGACAACTTTTGCACCATGACTCAAATCTGTTTTTTCACCTTTTTTTTTCACAGAGTAGGGCCACAGACGTTGACGTCATCGCATGGGAAAAAAACCTCAGTGAATGCATGTGTTAAGTGAGGATTTTCCTTTTAGTTTGCTTTGATTAGATGGATCTTTTTGTGTGGTAACACTTCACCAACAAACAAAAAAAGCCCGCCCCCATGGGGTGAAGCACAGGCACATAATTCATGCTAACAGATGCAGGTGATTGGTGCGTGCTGGCTGGTTGTGGCGGGAGCTTACCCGTCCGATGAGCACGGGCTCGGGCCCTCGGTACTCCTCGATCACGAAGAACTGGTTCCACAGCCAGCTCCGCCGGCGCCGAGGCCGGGCGGCGGCGGCCAGAGCCTCGGCCTCGGCGCCAGGACGCTGGGGCAAGACGTCGCGCAGCAGCCCGGAGCTCGGCACCAGCCTGAAGCCATTAATCGCACCTTCGAGCTCCCCATTAGTCCAACTGCTCCTTCTCCCGGGGTCCACGCTGCGTTCGGGGCTATGTTTAGACCTTAGGGGTGCAGCAGAGGCAGACTCAGGGGGGCTAAGCACATCTGTTTGCTTTCCTGAGCTGCTCCCGGAGTCGAAATCATCAGGTTTTCCGTCGCTTAGCTGGAAAGCCACGTTTGGCAGATGCCTCGTATCGTTTTTTGTACTATTACCACCGGCTCCAAGGTCCTTTATTCTCTCGACTGTCTCAGCGTGATGCGAGACTTCTTTTTTGCCTGATAACAACTGAAAGTCCTCGTCTTCTTCTGAAAGGCCGGCGGCCTCTGAAATTCCACTTCTTTCCCCTTGACAGAACAACAGAAAGAGGAGTATGACTCGCGCCGCCATTGCTTATCTTCACTGACCGCTTTATCTCAGGGGCCGGCCGGCGAGCAGCCCATCCAGCGCCAGCTCTCCATGATGGTCTGTCCCTTCACTCTTCCCCTTCCCGTCCTCAGAACTCGTCTTCATTTCAGGTCTGCCTCTGACACATTTCCGAGCAGCGCACATGCTGCGCAGGATCACCTAAGAGAAAACATAATTAGTGTGATCTTGACTGCATTCATTAATGTGGCTAACAAGTTCCTCAAGATGCATGAGGGAAAAATGCAAACAAGCTGACATCTTACTCATTATCCAGCCCCAAAAAAAAAAGAAAGAAAAAAGGGAAGGATATTTTCAGGCATGTTTCTGCATGGATGTTTTTCTTTTCTTTTCTTTTTTTTTTGGTGTTTGTTGAACAGCTTTGTTTGCTCATCTGCCAGCTGCTAGTAAAAATAGCTGCGAGTTTTAGCAACGGGGGTGATGCAACAAGGAAGCGCGAAAAAGAAGGAAGAGCCACTTTGTCCTATCGAGGGGGCCAGTCCGGTTGTTGATCACGCTCTGAGAGAGAGAGAAAACGATTGTGCTCTTTAAAGTTTTCAATTAATTTAGCGCCCCGGGACCTAGCGGTGAGGCGGAGCTCAGGTGCTTTACGGCTGCTTGTCACACACAATTGCCCGAACAGCAGATGATTGATGCCATTCCTGAAGATGTTCTCAGTGCCCGGTGGTGAGAGAAGTTCCCCTTAAGAGATTAATTAGGCTCATGAATAGTATAATCGATGCCTTGTCCTCATTTTCCAAAAGTTTAATGATCTTCATTTCATCAGTATTTGAGTCAGACGCTGCAGCATTGATCTTTGCAACCTGACGCAGTGGAGAGTGTCACCGACAGGATGCAACTGAAACTATGCGATAGCAGTTTTTTTTTTCTCCTCCTCTCTCCCTTCCACGTCCCTTTTGGATCTATCACTCAGGCTCACCTTTTACTGCTATGAAGGGAACACTTCTTGACATCTACTTTCACCTTCATGCACACCCGGAGGCATTATTATCTACACAGAGCAACAGGGCCTGAGTCATATGTATATATATATATATGTGCACAGAGATGGGGCTTTCAAACATATTTAATAAGTTAATAAGCTCTCATGTCACAACTCCAACTTGAATTATGACTTTTTGTGCTGGTGGCAAAAAAAGGGAGATAGTCAGAGGGATTTGATTTCTCTGTTACAGCCCAGTAGAATATGAGCCATGACATTTTCTGATACATTCATAAAGATACGCTCCATGTAAAAGGAAGGACAGATGGAAATTAAACCAGAGCTCTTTTCCTCTCCAGATAATGACCCACTTTAACGACTGGGCTCGAGACCAGACCACCGAGCAGTTATTTCTTTACTGGGCCATTTATACTCTTTTTTGGGGATCCAAATTTTAGGTTTCAACCTCCTTATGTACGCCAATAACGGAAGTCATCACCAAGTAAAGCCTCATAATCTCCTTTTGCATCTGTTTTTCCTGCATCTTAAATCTTTGAATTCTCAAGAAGTGGCCCCCACTGTAATACTTTTGTATTCCCGGGCTATTGTGCATAAGCATAGACTGAGCTCACGGCTTACATTTCCCTCTGCCAGCTTTGCTCCGGAGCCCACGTCGCCAGCAGTACATGCCATTCACCGCTGTTTGAAGTCTGTAGAGAAGGAGTGTGTATGAAATGTGTGTGTGTGTGTGTGTGTGTGAGGGTAATGTAAGGCAGGGGTAGGGGATGAAAGCGTGAGGACGATTTGCTGTTGCTGGCTCAGAATGGAATGATGAGTGGTGACATAGCCCCAAATTGCAAATCGCTGTTTCAGTCTCACTTCACTCTGCATCGAGTCGCCTCGCTGCAACCAGACTATCTTACTTTTATTAAAAATAGCCTGTGCATGCCGGGCCTTTTTACATATGAACAGGAGGTGGGTGGAGAGTGGGGTGGGGGGGTTAGATGGAGGCATAGCAAAGGAAAGAGTGGGGTTGGTGGGTGGGGGGGGTGATGGTGGAAGTACTCTGGGGGGGGGGGGGGGGGGGGGGTTAACTGCCAGGACTTGGACAGATTCTGCTCCATTTGCACATCTCGGGCTTTCTCTGCCTCCGCCGCTCCACTTAATGCCTCCAGAGCTCCCATCCATCCTCGCCGGCTCTCCTCTGCTCCGTCTCCCACACGGGGAAATCTCTTAAGTCCATCCAAATCTGACTGGTGAGGAGGAGAGGCCCACTGGACTCAGCACATCAGTCACCTCGTTATTGTCCGAGCTGACACTCGGACAGCTTAAGAGACACCGCTGTCCGGCGCGTTGTGCTGAGCCAGAGTCCGGCCCGTGTACTTTATTTGTCAAATGAAAAAATGCCTCATAATGTGTTCTGTGACAGCACAAATACAGCAGAGGGATGTTAGAGCTCTTTCGGAGCACGCTCATGCCTCGTCGCAGCCTCCCGTTTTCGGACTGAGTCACACGAAAGCCCCCAACGTACACGCGCACACACATCTGGGACGCTCGGGACTACAGAGATACATTACACAGCCCCGAGCGCGACCTTGTCTCGTTAGAGCAAACCGGAAAAATGACCTACTTGATGCATGTTAATGTGATTAAACACACTTGGGCAAACTGTTATAACGAAGGCAGCGTCCCCAAATACTGCCATCGGGGGTCCACTCCCGTGTACCTAACATCGGCGGGAAGCGAGCATCCCAGCACGCGGCAGGTGAGCAGCTGAAAATGAAAGGAGCGCGTGCGCTCAATCATGGCTAGAGGGGGAAAAAAAATTAATTGAATTTTTTTTTTTTTTTTTTTAAAGGGGGAACTCGGTAGCGTCAGCCAAAAAAAAAAGACAGTTGTTCCCAACAGTGCCTCTTCGAATAATTTCGCTTATTCGAATACAATTTTACCCAAATAGCGTCCGCGCGCTCGTGAAAAACAAAAGACGACAACGGTTGTGTTTGCGTTCTTCTTCGGTAGCTTTCAACTGAGGCAAACTCTCCGTGACACGTAAAAACAGAAAAGCCGAGCGATAGAGCTTCGACGAAGGCTGCAAACTTGTCACGTCTTTGCGCCAACTTGTAAACGATAAGCGTACGGAGTCGTCGGTTGAAGTATAAAAAATTTTAAAAAAAGAAGAAAGGGCTCACCGTGGGGTTCGTGGCGGTGCTCCGGTGGTCCCGAGGTGTCCGCCGAACCGCTTCAGACGTGGGAACAGACGCCGAGGTTCGTTGGAGCTCAACGCGAGGTTTGCCCACTTAGCCCGCTCCGTCTCCCGCTGTCTGCGACTCCCTCCCTCACTGAGAGTCGACGCTTGCTCTCCTCTCTTCTCTCCATTAGTCGGTTTTGGACAGCAGAAGGACCCTAAAAGCCTACTATTTTTGACAGTGAACGTGACCAGTGAATAACTCATACGCACACACACATACTACACACACGCAAACACACACTAGTGGACACGCACACTAACACATTTGACTCTGAGTAACTCACAGGCAAGTATGGCGGTGAATTCGTGGAGGCTTCTCTGTGCTTTACGTTATTTATTTATTTCCTTATTTGTGCCTTATTTGTCCAAGACCCACTTATTTATCTTGGTCTGCCGTACGCTGTCTGACTAACTGTTTCATTTGCCCAGGGTCGCTTATCTCCCTTAATTTTCTGAGCTTTTGCTTCCCTAAACTGGCTCGGATAATTGCATCGGCTGCCTGGATGAACAGGTTACATTACACCAGTAGCCATGGAAGCTTCTTGACCCATGGGATTGGTCATGATGTGTTTTTAATGGTAATAATGAACATTGTGAAAACTTGCTGATGCTTATTACTACCATAAATCTGGAGCACGACAGGGACACCAGAACTTAGTCAACGCTTAATGGCATATTAGTGACACTGAACATGGCCACCTTTTGAATTCCTGAAGATTCAACTAAACACATCAATTCAATTTGGATGCCTGTGCTTTTAAAAAACAAAATGATCTCTGAAAACATTCCGGTTTATTTCATGTTGGGTGTAATCTCAGATGCCTTGATACGTTTCAGTGAAAAGTACAAGAAAAATGTGCAATTTGATTAATAAAAGCCTTCCATTGAAACAGCTACGAAGCCTCTCTGTATGAGCTTGTCAGACGTGACTACGGGGCACAGTTCTGATCATTCTTTCTGCTTCTGTGTGATGATTCAGAGACAAGATAGTCCGCCAGCAAGTAGCGAACAGCCTGGGATGACCCGGAGGTAACTTGTCAGAGCCCTTATACCCGGCAGCATGCTGAGGTTTATTAATGACGGCAAAACAAAGTCAAGCAGCAATCAGTCTGCTGGGGGAGATGTGAGACTACACCAGATTTTTACAAAACACGTTCTAGGCTCCCGCTGTGAGAGGGAGCTGTCAGAGACATTTTGGCAAATCTCCACCTATTAAGGTCACGTTTCCAAAGTTCTGTTAGATGAATGAAAACAGAAAAAAAAAGGGGCCAAAGCTGCCAAAGCTGAACGGAAAGCCTCGGAAGAGACCCCTGAGTGGATGTAGAAGTGCTGCTCGTTCAAAGGTTTCCTTTATTATTTTTTGTTTCTTTTCTCAGGCTCAAAAACTTTGATTTAGGAACATGCCTTTTTCCTTTTCCGTCGAAAAAACAAACAAACAAACAAACACAAAGCACTCTGCTGTGCAAGAGTGTGCCTGCAAGCCTTAAAATGTAGACCACCAAACTGTTTTCCACTTGTTTTTTTTTCTTCTTTTCTCTTCCTCAATAATTCTACCATTAATGATCTTGCAAGGATAAGAATTATGGATGAGGTCGGGGAGTTAGGGAGGCATTCCCCCCTCTCACTCTCGCGGCTGCAATCAGTCATAAAGCAGTACTAGCACACATCTCCGTTCATGTTGCAGTCACGCAGCCCTGCGTGTAATTTATTTCACACTGTTAATAACACACAGACATGCTGGCTGCACACATAAGGAAACATTAGCCATTAAAGTGTCCGTCGTAGACTTTGTATTACAATACTTATGAATTAGCTTATCGTGCCGTCATGGAGAAGCACAGCTTCACACATCATGCCAGCATTTTGACATGCGCTTTTCCATGACGTTAATCACAAGCACCATTAAGTGGTGTTGCCCTGGAAACTTTTTATCCCTGCATTTTGACTAACTCCCCCTAAAATTTGAGAAAGCTGAGCCCTGTGGTGGTGAATAAAGGGATTAACACATTTTGCCCTGTGTCAGTGGTCTCTTTGTGACTTAAATTATCACTAATTGGCTTAATTTAAGGTCACAACACTCAAACACAATGAAAAGGAAACCTTTGCGAAATCGTTTTTATTCATTCACACATTAAAGTGTCAAAGAAAATCCAGAATGGTTCAGACAGCAGGCGCAAATCCATTTTTAGCCCTGTGTCACTTATTTGTTTCCTTACGCCCAGTGATAGATTATGGCCTCCCCCCAGCCTTTGGGCATTTTATCATTTGACTGCTGACTCTCTGCTTCCCCCAGTTTAAGCCATCAAACCACATGCAGGAGTGGGTAGAAATTACCTTGTAGTTGAAATGATGAAATGATTCATAATGCTTCGACGACTCCATCAAAAGGCCGGCCCGTCAGGGCGCTGTTAGATTACATTTTATCATCAGCGCAAACAAAACATCAGCTGTTTATTAAATGGAACAATGTGCAGGCCCAAATCATTTTGAGAAATAAGCCTGGAGGGTGGAACTGCCTAGCTTGTTCATTAATTTAGTATCTGCTCCAAAAGACGCAGTCAAGTCTCTTGAAAAATGCTCCCGATGTTTGCTTTTTCGGTTCTTATGACATTTATGTTCGCTTCACGCAGAGTCACGCCGCGTCTCTCCCTCATGGCTTTGCTTCGCCTTTTCTCGGTAGTATTCCTCTTTCAAGTCCTCCCTCTTCCTACGAGTCCATCCTTTAGAGGTGACGTGATAGACGTCTACACAGTTTCCCGAGTACGCGTCTCTGTGAGTCGCTCGGTACACCGCCTCTCTGGCGATTGCTGTGGCCTCCTCCACGGTCAGTCCCCAGTGAACCCCTTGGTCCACAATGGAGTAGGCGTAGGGGGACCCCGAGCCCACGGAGAAGAGCTTTCCGTTCAGGCGCGTGCCATCGCTGCAGACGTAAACCAGACTGGGTCCAGAGGAAGACCTTAGCACAGAGACCTTTCCACCAGAGGCATCTCCAGTGATTTCCAGGTCGGTCTCTGGACTCCGTCTTGTTTCTCTGTCGTCAGCGGGATCGTGGAGCTCCCCTCCGTCCCACCCGCACAGGGTGGCGGCCACGCAGAGCTCGGTCCCCTTGAAAGGGTGGAGCATGTGCGAGAGCAGCTTGGCGGCCCCTCTGGTGGAGAGCCGGCGGCCGTGGCGGAGCTGGTAGAGCCGCAGCTCCCGCGCCAGGATCCGCTTCCACAGCGCGCAGTCGGCCGACGTCCCGGAGGTGGTGCCCACCATGTGGCTGTGGATGGGCAGGATCTTCTGCGAGGCCGGGCACGCCACGAGGCCGGCGCAGCTGGAGCGAGTGTCGGCGGCGGCCAGGACGCCCCCCTGAAACACGAAGGCCAAGGTGGTGGTCCCGTGAGACATGGGGAAGGGAAGAGGGACGGGCTGAGAGGAGGCCAGGAGGGGGAGGTGGGAAGGCAGGGTGGACTCTAAGAGGGAGCCTGGAGATGGGATTCCATTGGCGCTGTGGCTGGGGCTGAGTTGGCCAAACTGAATTGGGCTTTCATCCAAATACTCTGCGACGGGTACATAAAAATTCAAAAGGCCTGAGCTGTTGCCGAAAGGCAAACAGCTGACGCCGTGACAACCTGTGCTCTGTCCCAAAGGCGGTGAAATTTGTTCTGCGGATAGACTCTCATGGAATACATCCTGGAAATTGCACAGGTCCTGCAAAGCCATTATAACTTTTAAATATCCTCAAATTAAACTATCCTAAAAGGATTCCGGCTTCTAAAAGACCCCGTTTCCTACTGAGCCCGGCAGCAGTCCCCACTTATATAGACCTAAAGATGACGTTCATGTTCCTGTGCGGTCACCTGAAGCAACCCAATCAGCAACTTTACAAATGTTTCATTCTCTTTGAAACATAAACACTCAGCCGCCCACGGGTAATTAATTTTGGCTGCGAGATCAGGTTTTTCTTCAGATCGGATTTCTTCAAAGGCTTTCCTGGGCGCGGGCCAGAAGAGAGCGCGGGGTGACGGCGATGTCTTGGCCGGAGCACAACAAATTAAGTTCGACTCCAGGCTTTGATGCAGGAGATCCCGCATAGAAACACAAACGGGAATCAGACACTTTCGGTCCTCAGCGCTGAGCCGACTGTGGCTCTAGCCCTTTAAAGGTAATTCATGCCAGTTGCTGAACCTGCAACACCAGAATATCAGGTAATACGTCCTCCATTACACACAGGGCGTCTGCTGACGACTGCTGCAAACTGAGAGCTTATTTGAATTTGGAGCAAACAAAATAGTCGAAACGCAGTAATAATGACTCCACGGATTACATATTTCTTACGCTCTACTTTTTAAGCCAAAACAGGGATGAAAAAATGAATGGGTTCCAGTCCATCATTTCTGGATATGTCTTCACTTCCTTCTTTGTAATGGTAAGCGTGCTCTCATGCCACTGAAAACTAAACAACAAAGGACAATTAATCCATTAATTAGATTTTAAAGGTGTCGTTTTCTTTAAAGCAACAACATCTGGCTTTTGTGTTAATGCCGCATTCGTTTACATGTGAGAAACAAAGTGATGCCGTGCTAGTGATGGCTTTTATAGCTGAACGTTCTAGTGAATATTATAATTATATAGCTCATTAGCTAAATGAGATTACAGAAATCCACGGCTCGTCTCAGTTTAATAAGGCTCCGTAACAAGTTTGGCTAAATTGATTTCCGCCCCACACTTCTCTGTATCTCTGTGTTGTTTTTCCAGACGTATGACACAGCTGGAAAACAACTCCCATTTTCATTTGTCTAATTTGTTTGAGGGAGTCAGACTGAACTCTTGCGTGTTTTCCTGTCCTCTCAGTTCATTTCGTGTCTTTTTTTTCTTTTTTTTCATTGCTTCGCCCGGGGACTATGTCTGTTACAGGCCATTTCAGCCCAGAGTGGCGACACCTTTCCTGACAGTTTCATAGGGTTTGACTCAGTCCCAGACCAAGTGGCAGATGGCTCAGTGGTCCGTGTGCACTATCGGTGCTCCGGGCCGTGTCAGCTCACCGTGGAGGTGGTGGACTCGACAGTGAGGAATACAGATTTGGTGGCGTTCAGGAGGAAGTGGTCCGGCGGCGCACCTCGGGCCCACGGAATCCAGCAGGTGCTGCTCAGATGGCCTCCGTCCATTTCCCGTCGCCTCCGCTTCTTCAGCGGGAACACGCTCCACACCCGAAATGTGACGCTCCGCGCCTGGCTGGACGGCGGGGGGACAGGCGAGGAAATCGGCACGTACCGCGGCTCCACGTGGAAAATCTGCAAAGAGCTGCAGGTAACGCTGCCTCCCCGGGACTGCCCGTCATGGTCAGCTCAACTTATCCAGCAGACGACAATCCATCAGTGCCCACATGAGACAGGTCATTCCTCTAATTGTCCATTTTTATCTCCAAAGCGTTTAAGGGAGACATTGAAAAAAACATAAAATTCTCTTTTTTGTGTTTCTCATTTGCGCAGATGCAGTCGATATGCTCACGTTTCCTTTCGCGAGCACCGGTGAGCACTTCGGGGTGGTCCGCAGATTCCAGCCCTTCGTTAACAGAGCCCTGGAGACGGCCCGCCTTCAGGCCGCTGCACGGCCGAGGTGAGGCCGGCCGACTCCTAATTTACCCCATTTAAGGTGGAACCTACGCCGTGTGAATTTCAACTACATATCAGGGAAGAAAAGAAAAAGAAAATCACAAACAATGATGCCACAGGTAGACTTTTAGATGAGAAATTTAGGAAAACAACCTGTTTAACTTGGAGGTGACACCGTGTCTGGTGTGAGCGGGTTGACGGGGTCAAAGGTCAGCGATTGTTTCCTTTCCAGCGCATCCGAGCACGCTCCGCTTTTAGTTTTACTTCGGTGTTTTTTTATTTTTATGAAACGACTTCATCAGCTTTGCGCCGAGGCCTCTTCACCAGAGCATATAAAGCTTTTATTTACGGTCACTGGCAGACGGCGAGGTCAGGCGTCTTTAGCAGACAAGCGTTTTAAATCGGAGGGGGGGGGGGGGGGGGCCTCGCGCTCCGGTGACTGAGGAAATGATTTGTAAATCCTTTTCCGGTGGCTTTGGTTTTTCAGCGTCACCTTCTCGGCGTGGATCTACCTGCTAAAGCGGTGTCAGAGCAGGCGCTGTGGGATCATCCATCATGTGAACGGGAGAAATTTATATGACTCCGTCCTGCTGCAGCTCTCAGACTCAGGTGGGTCGCGGCAGCTTGCGGAGACACAAACTGCCACGGAGGATTTGGCTGAGCCGTCACAAGATGCTCGCGAGGCGCGCCGATGTTGGTTTTGCGAGGCCGGGGAACAGACCGTGTCATGTATTAATAAAGAGCTCTGGATTCCCTCTTGTGAAATATATGACTGTCATATTTTTTTTCCGCGCAGGAGAAATCATAATTCAGGCCCATGTGACGACAGGAGAAGATGAAGCATTCCAAGCCGCTGAAGTGATGCCCCTGTGGAAGTGGATTAGATTGGACTGTTACATACTCGGCTCAAAGGTACGGCACCCCGGCTGGAGGGTCTGGGTGGCTGGATGAGGAATAGAAATCGAAATTGAGCTTGTAGTCATTTGTTTTCTTTTTTGTGCTCTGGCTTTTTTTTTTTTTTTCTCCCCTGGAACAGCTGTAAGATCTTGAGAGATGGTTTCTTTCCAGCTGGGGAACTTGAGGCAATTGCACTGTGCACTTCAATTTAAAGTTGCTCACAGTTCAACAGTTGTTGTTGTGTTTTTTTTCTGGGCTCATGCCTTGTTGTGTCTAACTTTCAGGTTGTCCTGATTTCAACGTGGGATGAGGAAACTCACCGATCTGAATACGAGTAAGAGGACATAGAGCTGCAAAACATGTTAGCATGCAAAGTTATTATAGAACCCTGTGTTATTGGCTTCGAATATCTTCTAGATTTCAGAGCAGCATCAACTTCGATGACACTGACGGATACTTTGTGATTGGAGGGGGCAAATACATGCCAGGCATCCATGGCTACTTCGGGCCCGTCAAATACTACCGCTTAGGAACAGAAGAGGTCAAACTCTCTAAAACTTTCTAATAACAAACCATGTATCGCTGTTATATGACTCATAAGTTCCACATTAAAATTATTTTCCTTTCCTCAGGTTAAGAATGATCTTCACCCCAAGTCAACGTTACAGGGGCTGGAGAGGGCCCATCAAAAATGTCAGGAAATTAAAAGATTCACCAAAGCTTTTCTACATGAAGTTACCAAAACCCGCCCTTTGTCACCAGCTAACAAAGGTGAAATATTACTGGACGCTGCAGCCAGTCTCCACATACTCGATTTGACCGAGTGTCTTATCTCATTCCGATCTCTTTAGTTTCAGCCGTGTGCGTCCCGGACTTCCTCAGACTGTGGGGTCAGCTCGGAGGGAAAGATAAAACCTGCCCCCAGACGTGGACCTGGGAATCGCAGCTTGAGCACCAGGCGTTCTTTCACTTCTTGCTACGGAGCGAGGCGGAAATCGGAACAGGTGCCGCGGAACAGGTGCCGCGTGTTTGCACGCGGAGCCAAAAAGGGAGGGCTCCGTGGTAGTTATTTTGCTCTCCAGCTCACACGATTCTCTCTTTCTGCAGGATCTTTTGCAACTTTGCACCTGAGAAAGACTCTGTTTGACCTGGCCGTCGGTGAAATATTCCCTGCTGTTGAGGCAGAGAAGGAAATCACACTCCAATCGATGGCTTTACTGAAAGCAGCTTCCTGCTTTGGAAACCACAGAGCATCGTTGCTCCTGGCCGCCACCCACCTGTCTGGACTGGGAGGCTCAGTCGATCAGGAGGAGGTAGACTCACTACCTCCCGTGTATCCTAATTGCCTCACCCACGTGTTTACTGTGTGATCCCATTCGAGATAAAGACTCATAATGCTGACCTGCTGTGTTTTCCAGGGTCACGTTTATAGCCTGATTGGTGCCTTGGCTGATGACCGTTTTTCCCTGATGCACGCTGGCTATAAACACACGTACGGAGCCGATGGGTTTCCTAAAGACTTGCACATGGCTTACGGCTACTATTCCAATGCTGCGGCGCAAAGCAGCATAGACATTTCCCAGGAACACAAAAATAAGGTATCAGTCACCGCACACTGGCAGTACTAAGCATTTAGTCCTCACTATCACTGGCAGATGTTTTGGTAAAAAGCTTTTTGGGACATACTCTTTTTTTTGCATAGTCCATCAGATCTGAATCAAACCATAATTAGGCAATTTCGTTTGGCCTCCATAAAAAAACACTGTCCAGACACAAGCACTGAAACCACTGCTAGTTGTTCTTCCAATATTGTTTTCGTAAGGTCTTAAACACATTAGATTCCATTTCATACATCCCAAAGGCCGGTGTCTTGTTTTACGTCCACTGGTTAGAGTTCTTGGCCCTCAGAGGCATGTCCTTTTCTAATTCTGGCTGCGTTTGAATAGTGTTTGAACATGCATTCTGTTTTTTACCCCCTCCGTGTGGAAAAAAATGTAGAGAAGATAGACGGCAAACAGGCTAGCAGGCTAACATCTCGACAACATCATAAGCCCTTGCATGTTGTTATGTAGAGGAGCAAAACGCAGATTCCACTCCAGAGACAGGCAGCTGGAAGAAGTATCGAAGTTTGTATTAAATTATGTATGTGGAAGTATGTATGGAGAAAAAAGCCTTTGAATTCTCCAATGTATGTTAGGGACGAGCTTAAGCTTCCCTAAGCTAAATGATAGATAAGAGAGAGGACATAGTTTTTGGAAATTCTGAGTTTCCTGACATGAATACTCCAGGAGAACTTGCTTGTAGTGTTAACTCGTCTGTAAAGAATCCTGGTATGTATTTTGACAGGGCTCTCAATTGAGAAAATTTGTTAAGCTGTCCAGTTTTTTTTTTTTTTCCAGCAAAGAGCCATAACAGAACTGAAGCCCAATTTTCCCCCCTTTAACGTTTCGGAGATGACAATCGTTGCCTTCTAAACCTCGCGGCTCGATCTCTGCACTTTAGCCAGTCAGTAAAGAAGTGTATTTCTTTTAATGTTTTAAACGCCTGCATGGACAGGCTCCAGCTTCCTTACTTTAACTGAGCCAACCAACTCCAGAACCAGGCTAAAAGCAAATGCTTTTGCAGTGGCTGTCCCTAAATTATGGAATGGCTTACCTCCATGGCAGATCTGCTCCCAAGGTTGATCCATTCAATTAATTGCTGAGAGACCCTTCTATTTTTCCTCAGCCCTCCTTTTGAGTTGAGCAGTTTTCATATCCCAGCAGAATTTTTTTTCAAGATGGAATTTTTATTATGTATTATTTATTGTTGTTTTTATGTTTTGCGGCATTTTTATTCTCTTAGGCACTTTGGTCAGCCTCAGTTGTTTTTAAACACGCTCCATATGTAAGGTCACTCGACTTTATACCACAATTGCTGCAAAACATAAGATGTCCTGCACAGCATCAAATTAATATCAGGTGATTTTTTATTGGGAGAGACATGCATGTTTTCCCTCTACATCAGCAAACTGTACCGAGTCGTTGTAAGAGATTAAGACAATTGCTTCATCCAGAGTGATTTATAGTAGGAGGAATCGTAATTATTTCATTAAACTGATTAGAAAAAAGTGGTAAAACTAACTTAAGACCATAAGATTTTAATTGAATCTCAAATTTTTATTTGAAGAGCATCTCAAAGAAATGCTCATTAGTGACATCTAAATGGTTTTCAAAGACTAAAAAAGGTGCTAATCTGTGGTCTTTTTCTTGTCTTCATAAACACCCACACAAGCTGTTTTCTTTTGTTTCCAACTGGAGCAGATGTGAGTGCTATTGATTTTTTTTTTTATCCTCTCTTGGCAAGAAAGAGAGTAGACGTAAAATGTTATTAGAAATGTTCTGTATCAGATGTCTAGCTGTAATAAAAAGCTATGGACAAGCAAATTTGCTCCTACAAACATGCCGCACACCTGACAGCACTCATACTAAGCGTCACGTGTCACAGAATATGATTAATGGCGTGTTTGTTGGTCCAGCCGGCTGGATCAGAGGAGGCTGAGTCTTAAATCTTCATTTAAAAATAGAGCTGTCTTGATGAATGGGGGAGAGCACTCCAAAGATAAGGAGCCCGCTCAGAAAAAAAGGCTGCCTGCAGCTGATTTCCTGTTTATTCTCTGAGTATTTCAATAAGCTGCATCCACTGAAGAGGGAAGCACGGAAACAGAGGAGGAACCTTACTGTCCGCTCCAGCTAAAACAGCCCGGCAACGCTCCCAGAAAACTACATTTCCGTCAGCAGAAGGTTGACTAACTGAGAACTTTTTAAGGAGCAGAGTAGATGAGGCACCTCATTTGATTTAAACAAATTTGTTCCTAAAAGTTGTGTGGATTTGGATTTAACTCTTAATATATCCCAATGTAATGACTATAATGATGTTTTCTTTATTTTTTTTAACTGAACTGTGGGTCAAATCTCACATCAGATGGTAGTTTCTATTTATGATAACAGTGACTCTGTTTGTATTTTTCTTAGCAGTATACACCTGAATACATCTATCTAAGCAACGATGATTATTCAAACAGCCTGACGGATGAAACCAGTGATCTCTTTCAGTATTTAAAATTCGAAGCAGAGAGGGGAGACACAGAATCTCAGGTATGTTTGATGTACGAAGCTGATTTGCCTATTCATCTGATGTATTATTCAATAAAGACTTTGTGTGTGTGTATCTGTGGAGGATTATGGTATGGAGGCATAAAAAGAGAAAAGGTTCGGCTCCTCTTTGATTTCTCCTCAGCGGACAGCGACAGAGTCAGTGTCCAGAACAGACTAATAAAAACTCTATTAACTCTAGAGACGCTTGGGAACGATGCTTTACTGGGGACAGAATGGAATCTCAAAAGACCCAGCCAGCGCAGTGAAGTGGTTTGAAAGGAGTGCCATGCAAATGAAGGATCCTTCTGCGATGTACGAGTACTCCGTCCTCCTGATGAAGGTTGTGCATAAGTACCGAGGCTGTGTTTTGTGAATGAGTGGAACTCCGGGCATTAGGTGTGCGACTGTGGCTCTGCCCGCGCCGTCTCTGTTTTGACGCTTATCGATTACCTGATTGATGCCGATTCCTCCAGGGCCAGGGAGTGAAGAGAAACTACACACGGGGTTTTCAGCTGCTGCAGAAAGCGGCCGCTATGGTGAGCGCAGAGGGAGGGGGGGGGCGATCAATGGCAGTGTTTACAGCACACAAGTTCTCTCAGAATACCAGTTTCTGCTTCCCCCGCTTTAGGGTTCAATTAACGCCCTGAATGGCTTAGGCTGGTACCATGGGACGGTGCTTAACGACCACGAGAGCGCCGTGAGATACTTCCAGCAAGCCGCCGCAAACGGAAGCGCAGAGGGGATGTTTAACCTGGGAGTTTACCATCTGAGCGGGAAGAACCCCGAGAAGCCGTGGAGGAACGAGGTGGGATTCTCACACCCGGGCCGAAGAGGGATCCTCCCACATTTCACGTCCGACAGAGTGCCTGATAGGTGTGTTCTGATCTGACCCCGCAGAGCGCGGCATTCCAGCTGTTCCTGAACGCCTCACGATTTGGCCACGTAGCCGCCTCGGTGGAGGCGGCCTGGTACCTTTCGACAGGAAGCCTACAGGCGGCGTCTCAGGATGTGGAGAGGGCCGTGACGTAAGAGGCTTTCATTAGCTTGGGGAATAAAAAAAAAGGGGGAAAAAGCGTTGTTATGGGCTGTTGCACTGTAGCCTGCAGTCCGGTGCCATCTAATTTCAATGACGGCGGCTAATTCAAGGTCACAAACCCAATATTTGCATATCTAAAAATAAGATTCACAGGCAGAGAGGCTGCTTTGCAAAGCTCTTCTGGTGACTGAGCAATTTATGACTTCTGCTGTTTTTGTTTTGTCTTTTGTTTAGTTTTTTTAGTTTTTTTTAATGACCTGGGGAGATTTGTAACTTTCTCGATCACGGTTCAATGTGTTATGTTCATATAAAGCAAGCCGCGTCCCATAATTCACCAGATGTTTTTCAACCCCTTGCACAGGATGCTGAAGAAGGTCTGCGAACAAAACGGACACCTCGGATTTATGATCAGAGAGGGTCTCCTGGCCTACGTCCAGGGCTGTCGGTAGGGATATTAAATCCAATTACATTTCGATCATCCTCATTTAATCACTTCCTCTGAGCTGGGCTGTTTTTTCCACCACCTCCTCACGCCAGCATGCGTCAGGCATTCGTGAGCTACGTCCTGGCGGCAGAAACGGGCCTCGGTGTGGCGCAGGGCAACGCCGCGCACCTGTGTGAGGTAAATATTTGTGCCTCCGTCTGGCCTGGGCGCCTCTGTGTGTGCTGCTAAAAACAAACGCGGGGCGATTCTTCTTCAAAATTGATCGTTGACACAGTCCTGCAGTCAATGTCTTGTAATTGGATTTGCAATGTTGGCTGACGGACGAATTGCACTTAATTCCAGTCATGCAATTAAAACAAGAGAACAATGCCAGAGGGAGGTTATTTGCAGTTGATAGCGTAACCTTCATCGTTACCCTGCTCTTTCCCACCGTGCACCCAGGAGCTGGATCTCAAAAACAATTGTCAGTGGAGGTATCTCAACTATTCTATATTAGACCCTGATCCCCATCCATCCGGTGAGTTCAACTCATTTCTTTTTCCTCAAACCTCCCTCTGTACTGTCAACGTGTGTGCTGAGCAGCAAATATTTATCTTCTTTATAGCTCTGCTGAAAATGGGCGACTACTACTACGACTACTTTTCCTCCAGCACACGAGAGGACTCATTATCCTTGGCTGAGCAGTCCATATCAATGTATAGCAGAGCAGCTCTAGCGGGTAGCCCTCAGGTGACAGATTTACTTGGGCTGTAATCTCATCACCGTATGATAAACTTAATTAAACTTCCACAGACTGAGGCCCACTGCAATAAAAACCACAAACAGCATTGCGCAGTGTTATTATTTGGAGACTTTCCGAGTGAATAACCCATCAGCCTCCAGTTATGAATCTGTTTTCACACTGACTCACAGGGAATGTTCAGCCTGGCTGTTCTGGCGCAACGGGGACACACTCTTCCGCCGAGCGTCCTCGGCTTGTTCAATGCATCACGTCGCGACGAGCCGGATTCTGTGGTGGAGAAGATCTTGCAAAGGTGCTGTTTAAAAACAAAAAGACGATGAGTGGGGCTCAGCTGCGGTGTGAGCAGAAAAGCGTGAGCACCGACTACAACACGCGCAGCACGATTCAACAAGTCTCTTTTTATCTCCTATCCTCAGATGTGTCGATTCTGAGGACGACGAATCTGTTGGTCCATGTTTTCTAGCTCTGCTTGGACTCCAGATGAGAAAAGCCCAGAAGAGAATGACTCAGAACCACGCAGAACTCCTCTTGGTAGGCACGACCAAATAAAGCCACGCTGTATGTAGCAGAAGAAAAAAAAGAATCGACGCTCTACAAGTTTCCTACAGCATGTTGTCATTATACATCTTTAAATAATTGATCTAAATTGAATTTCATACACAAATAAGGCCGTTAATGATTTAAAGGTTGTTGGTTTTTAAGAGAAAATATAGTCACTAAATTGAACCAGTTATTTTTTCTGTCCACAGATGTATGCATCTCTTCTCTCCATCTTAGTCATCATGGTGGCTCTTCCATTGCACAGCTGCCTTGGTAAGTTCTGCTGTTGCTCACATACCACGCGCCACTTGCCGAAATCCGTCACAAGATGGCATCATTTCCCCAGTGTTTTTGTCATTTCTACCCTGAGAGATGTTTATGTTTATGCATTTAGCAGACGCTTTTATCCAAAGTGACTTACAAAGTAGAAATATATACATTTGTATTCCCCATCGGGGGATCGAACCACGGTCTCCCACATGACGGGCAGGGGTACTGACCACTATACCAACGAGGTGATAGCCCATTTCACTGTTCTCATTCTGAAAATTTACACAGAACGCAGACGCGGGCCACTGTCCCGGAACAGAAGGGCTTCTTCTGTCGGCCAACACGGCGCCGACCTCGACAGAGCCTTGGTCAACCGGTGGCTGACGGTAAACGGCGAGCGGCGGCTCCAGCGGGCCAGCGAGCTGGCTTTGACGCTGGCGGGCGTTTGCCTGTGCAGCTTCTGGACCGCACTCCTCTGTCATCTCCTGTGAGCTACAATGCCAGGTGCAGTGATCCAGCGGCCGCAGCAAAAGCCCGCAGACGCTACATATTGTGAGCCGGCACATTATTATTACAATACACAACAATTCATGTCACACTTTGGTGCTTCTGAGGCCAGTGACTCAATCTCAGAGCAAAGGAAGATAGGCACCGGTCAAACTGGGACAGAGCTGCTTTATCTGGTAGTTTCCACGGTAACCACTAATCATTTATTTGTTTATAATCTTAAAAAAAAAACCCTCGTCTCAAAGTTGATTTAAAGAAATCTAAGCCTTAGTTACAGCTTCTTCAGGACGTGGTGCTGAAGGAGGAGGGTGGTAAAGAATGAGTCTCAGTGATGGATTCACAGGGAGATGTTCGCCCAGCTGTGTTCTAATAAGTCAGCCATTGAGGCCTGTCCCCGCTCCTATCAGCGACTTGTCGATGATAAACGTCGCGCAGGAGACAGGACGCGCAACAAAAGCACACGGGGCACTCAAACACTTTCTGGAGCCAAAGGCAGAGCAATGGAATTTCCAAATGTTATTGATTTAGTCTCTTGCGGTGCAGGTGTTCTCAGTCAGAACGTAAGATAAGCAGATATCATCCTAAAACAATGCTAACCAGAGATCGAAGGGACAGAAATGTTTACATAGCAGTGGCACACTCTTTAAATGCACCTTTATGTATTTTGAAGGGAAAAAAATCCTCCATGTAGCATCGTTTTTGTGCTCATAGAAAACGGATTGGAGAACAGCATCTGAGGGATTTTGTTTCTATGCTTCTCAGCCATAATGAGGCAAAGTTTATGTCACTTTGTCTGTAACAGTTATTTACAGCCCTGGCTGACTGTGATGTGATAATGTGCAGTTTATGGCCGATGTTCAGGGAGCTGTCATTTGTTAAATTAGGAGTTTCCACCGTGTAAACAGCTCCATACAGAGCCGCCTCCCTTTGGAGTGACTGCGTATAATTTGGGGGCTGACTGATGGTTTCCCTCTTCCTTTTTATAACCCTGCCACAGACGTCATCCGTCTCTGTCTTTAAGGAAACCAGTTAAAGAAAACAAAAGCACAGCTGGCATGCTTGTGCAGTAATCTCTTAATGTGTCATTGCACTTAATGTGGTAGCTTTTTCAACGGGTTACTGGAGCTTACGTCAGAGTCACTTACAACAAGGTCACCAAACCCGTCTAAAGTTCTGCTAACCTGTCTGAACCAAAGAATTAGCTCTTTGACCGTATGTGATTTAAACAGAAAACACAGACGAGTTCAACAGTTAGCTTTGAGATAAATGATAAAGTCAATCGTACTTCCTTGCTCACTAACTATACCGAGTTCTGTTCTAATTTACCTTATTTTTAGTGGCGTTTTCTGCTTTGCAGAGCTCGGCCCCTCCCTGTGGGATCACCAGACAGGTTACCGGCAGCCCAGATCAACTGGTACAAAGATACATGCTCTACACAGAGCCAAAAATTGTGGTCAAGATATGTGTGCTTCAGGTCAGCTCTCGCACAGCTGTAATTATTTGGTTCTTCACCGTGGCTGGTGAAATGATCCAGACATTGGATTGTAAGTCTCTGTGGACGTGGTGTCTTTTAAACCTTAGGTCTGCGATATTCAGTGATCCTTACCCTAGCTGTTGCCAAGTCTACACGATGGATGTTGAACCTGATGTCTAGGTGTGAACATTGACAGGGTCAGACCAAAGGGAATATCGTTGGAGATGCTTTTCTTGTGATAAGATGATGTCACGTTTATGGCATCTCGCTGCTGTAAAGATATTTTGAGTCGAAGTCAGATATATTCCAGCCTAGAGGGTTAAAAGCTGAAGTCTGCTGGAGCACCGAGCAGATGTGAGCATAGCAGTCAACCATCGATTCGAACTGCCGCCTTTTATGTGTGTCGACTTTTACGCCTGTGATTATTTTGCCTCACGCATTATATGATGTAAGAAGGTTCTATTCAAGTGCAGTTTACAGTTTTTTGTTATACCTCTGACAAAACTTTAATACAAGTCATTGCTGTGAATTGCTTCCTACCACACTGCCAAACCAGATGACACACATCCCTCGTGCACATCCCTGATTTAATCTGAACAGAACGCCTATGCTTTATGCTTCAAATGGGTTCATTTCAGCACATTCTTATTCCCAGAAAAACTCAGGAGGGCCGTCTCACTGCACAAGAAGCAGTGGCCTACTGTGTGCTGTATATCGCGCCGCTGCATCGTAACATGTCTAAAAATAGCTTGTATCTCCAAACATAACTCAGCTGGACTTTGGAAACATCTGCGAACACTTCTCCCTGCAGGTGGTGAGGTCATAAAAGAAGATACAATCTAAAACGTGTTCATTTTGTTTTTTATTACATCCAAAAAGGCTTTCTGAATTGAATTACTCTTTCAGTTTAATACCTTTGCCTGCTTTAGGCTTTGATTTATTTGAATGTATTATCATAAATAATTTTATAAGGAAACATGAAAAGATAGAGGGCTGAAGCTGCCACAGTGTAAAATGAATGCAAATATATATCAATTATTCAAGAACCTAATGATTTACCAATAAAAGCTATTAACATTGGGTAATAATGGGTATTTATAATGGGTATAAAAATTATGTTTCTGCTTTGATTTTTCATTTTGAAGTGTTCTCCATTGTGACACTATTGTTTTTATTTCTTTCGTCTCATTTTTCTACTTATGCATTCTTTTATCTGTAAATTTCTTTATCTGTTATATTTTTCTCAATTTCTCTCCTTTCATAAATTGTTTTATAAAACTCTAAACTATTTATGTACCTCATGATGATTTTACAGTGTCTGCGTTAATTACATTAAACAGTAAAAGGTATTTCTCCTTCTTTCATTTTTTTACCTGTTGCATTTTCCTACCTTTTACTTCCTTTTTTATAGTTTGTTTTTACATTTTCTTGATTCGGCTTATACATTCCTCTATGCTTTTCTCCTTTATCACCTAAAATTATCCCATCGTTGATGAGAATTGAAGAATCTGACGCAGCTGGATTCTATTGTCCTGAGCAGCACCTTCCATTATTCCGGTGTGTTTTTAGATGTGAGTTGAGGACCAGCTCATGATCGTAGGTTATGTTTCCCCTCTGAGTTCCGTCCGGTTAATATTTCCACAGACAAATAGTTATCTCTTCCTATTTAATTTAAGCCAATAACATTACCTGGTTGAGGTCAAAGTACGATGAATATTAAAGATGAGATACATTATTTTTCTATGAGACCATTACCTTTATGGACTCCTTTTTCAATAAAAAAAAATCTCTTATGACCAATGGAGACATTACAGTCTATAAATGTGAGTGTCACCATTAGGACTATGTTAACATCCTTTTATCGTCACATTAGCAGCGCTCTGAAGACAGATTCACACTCGCTGGCCTGCCAGACAGCCAGATGAACTCTATTTGGCCCTCAGCTTCAGTTGAGCTCAGGAGTCGACAGCTCCTGCACACGGGGATCATTTTGATGTGTGTAAATGAGTGACGACATGCTGTAAAATGACTCAGGAATGTTATCAGGATTTCTCCCGCTTTGCAGAACAGGGTTTTTTTTTCTTTTTCTTTTTCTTTGCACAGTGTCAACAATTTTCTCCTGATACATTCCCAACTCCCTCGCTGACTCAAGGTCAGAGAAGCCTTTTCCCCTGAAAATGTCATCAGGAAATGAGAAGTACTGAACGAGAAGTACTGAATGTTCAGGCGCTGTGCCCCGAACACACAGCTCTCTCTGGAAGACTTGTGTTAGTGCAAGTGAGCTAAAACTCATCCAGCTAGTGAAAGATAATTCAGTCTGCAGTAGATAGAGGTTGTACTGCGTGCAAAGCACTTGTTAGCAGCAGGCATCACAGTTATCGCTTTCAATTATGATGAAGAGGGCAAAGGAAACAAGCCAGGAGATTTTTTTCAGACTCAACGGGAGACTTACTGTTTTCTGACACTCCAGCTGTTTAATGTCTCACCTTGTTAAAATAGTGCGTATTATACTCAAAGTATCTTTTGACAAAGGTAAAAAAAAGCCATAATGAATGTGTCTGATGTCACTGAGCCCCAGATCTGAAAAGATATGAAAGGCTTGATTTCCTTCATAACAACAGTAAACACAGAAAACAATGTCAAACTTCCACCCGTCATTTCATGTCATAAGTCACAAGCTGGCATTATGAGTCAACTACTTGTGTTGTTTGAAGGCATGTTTGTATGTTGTATGTATGGGCTTCCAATATCACAGTTACTATAAAAAATGTGAAATTCCAATTGTGACCATTTGGGACATTTAAAAATAGAATGCAGTCATAGTTTTTACCCGAGAAAAGCTTCTACCGGGGCAGAACGGTCCTGGTTCCTTGGTGGTATCTTTTTATTTCAGCATTGGTGGAGCCTTTTCTGGTGTGTACTGTAGGTAGTCAGCTCCACAGTTAATAACGCATCCCCATAAGACGAATGGGAAAAAAATTAACTAAAATACATAAATTATTCATAACTTGATGATAAATTTGAGCTAAAACAGAAACACATAGACACGGTCCACCGTCTCTCCTCGGCAGGCGGCAGTTACGATGCTGTAAACCAGCGCTGTAAAACCATTTGTGCTATTGTTAATAATGAGATTAGCTCTCTCTTCCACTTGACTGGTGCTGATGTGCACTTAAAAAACCTTTCCCACATGCACACGGATCCAAAGATCTCTATTGTGGTACAGAGTTTCTGCAGAGTTACAAAGATCAGGCTAGTATCTTTCGAAGTGGAGCTGTGCAGTTTTCTGTTCCTGAACGTCTTCTCAGTTTTATTTTGCGGGTTTAAATATGATAAAAAAGTTTATACAATTATATAATTTCAAGTGAGGTTGCGTATTTTCTTCTTCGTCAATCCTTACTGGTCCTAATTCACTGGAAGGGTAGCTAAGACAAGCCATATCTTTAATAAGAAAAATTGGATTCAGAAAGAGGGTTAAAGCAGATTGGTATTAAGACAAACTGAGATGTCTTCTTCTGTAGGGGGAAAATGAGAGTTATTCACTGTTACTGAAGATACTGTAGGCTCAGCTAGTTTTAGGGGGCCATCTTCTGTCTGGTGCTTTAAAAAAAACAGAACCCAAGCGTTTTGGGTTTTCAATGCTTTGCAAATCTAGCGTTGAAAACCACAAACAACTCTGGGCTTAAATTTGTCTTGTGGACAAACAAATGAGAAAATTTCCCCATAGTGGAAAATTTTTGGCCATTTATGCGTGTTTTTACCCTCCAAAGTTGCAAAGAAATCAATCACGATTTCACTCGGGTTGAAATTTGATTATTTCAAAGTGAACTCTCACCTCTACCATTTTCCACAAGTTAAAAACCCAATAGCAATAACTAACCAGTTCTTTCTTGGAACAAGTGTCAAACATTGGAAGTTGACCTCACGAATCTCTTAAGTCTGCCATAAATTATTGGTAAAAAAGCTGTTGAAATGCCATAAAGTGCAGTTTACATTTATCAGTTTTATTAATTTGTAGAAAGGTCAAGTGATTATGATCTAAAGTAGCCCTTGGGCCGAACACATTTTACTGTCCTCATTAAAATCCCTTAAGCTGCCAAATCTTTAATGATCTGACGGCATAATGATTGACCTTGAGAGTTGGAGATTCAGTTTATGGCCTGATAGGACCGGCACACTTTAAAGCTCAGAGAATTTCAACAGCAAATATTAGTTGTTTATTCTACAGATTTACTGTATTATTCCCATGGATTCTATAATCATTATTCTATTATTCTACTGTTTTCTATTCACTGTGTTCATTTAAACTTTGACTGCTGTGGGTACTGTATGACATGAGATACAACCAAGCAAGTATGTAAAAAATTTAAGGCATTCTGTTTTCTAGACATTTACCAACTGAAAATGTCTTTTCTAGTCCGGAAACTACTGGTTTCTTCTTAACTCCGAACAATAACAATATTGTAAGAAAGGAAAAAAAGCATTGACATATGATATCTTATTGCACGCAAAAATGTTTACTTTACAGTGGCTTTTGTAAGGTCCTATCAGCTCAATATTTACTGTCGTGTGCACTATTTATTTTGATCACTTTTCATTTTATTCTCGCTTTGTTCGCCAACTTGACTTTAGTTGTGCAACCTTAGGGTAATAGGGTAACATTCTTTGGAGTGAAAAACCTTGATTCTTTCCCCCAAAAACTCCTACATTTAACAGTTAGAACAGGCAGCTGAGGACAGATGGGCTACTATGCCCAGTAGCCGAATTTCATCAGGCTCTGGAACGATCAATAGCACAGCCAGCTCTCGATAGCGCGCTCCCAGAAGACATCTGAACTTTAACAACAACTTTTGAGTTATTGTGCGGCTGGACTAAGAATAAAGCTGACACACTACAACTTAACTGAAATGTTTTATTCAGCAGGGCACTGACCAGAGTTGTCTTGATTAATGATCCACTGAACGGGTCATGCGGGGTAAAAAAAACCCAACTGAAGAGCACCACTTATGGAAATGGCTCGGCTGTGCCAGCGTTGTCTGCTGAGCCGCTAAGTGATTATTAGCAAAGGCCGAATATTGAAGAAGACTATTAACCACACGGCTGAGGTCTGATGTGTTGGAAAGTCCAGTACTTAGCACTTTATTTCTCCTTGACCTCATAAACGCAGGGAGGCCAGAGTTCATTTGCGACTGTGTGGGTGGCGATGGGGGGGGGGGGATGGGAGGAGCAGATGCTCTGATTTTGATTGGACAAGTATCCTTGTTTCTAAACCCAACCAGCATGGCTTTTTTTAATTGAAAAAATATATATAATTCAGAGGAATGGACCCTCAACACAAAGTATTGCTCTGTATTCCTCTGTGTATGTTTCACAAAGCCTCCACAATCCCCCATTTGGACACATCCAATGGCATAAAGAAATTAATGTCAAATGTCAAGAAAGTGTTAAGATATCACAAAGGTCAAATTGCCTGCAGAAATGGCCGTTTAAGGTGGGACAGATGAGCAATTACTACTATTGTTCTGAATAAGATAATGTAGGAGGAAGGAAGAAGTCTTTCTTGGAATCATCCCTTCCACTCAGCAAGCATCCTTAACTAAGACCCACCCACCCTACTAATGTGCTTCCTGGTGTTTGTTGCTGCTAAATTGCCATGCTAAAACCTAGCAATACGCTCAGATTCGAAGTCACTAATATGACAAATATGCCGTTCAAAGGCGCATCAGATAGGAATATGCTTACGGGGTTCCATCTTCTTCGAGCATGCTTATTCTTATCTTCTCATCCTCCATGTAAAACACATGTGTGGCCATCATTATCTGAGCTGATAGAAAAAGGCCAGGATCAGATCTGACAGCCCAGATCAGTTGGAAAAAAAATTACCAATCAGCAACTACAACAACCTTTATGCACGATATTAGTAACGGAACTAGATAAAAGAAGATACAAAATGACTTCAAGGACTTTAAAAATAGCAATTGTCTTTATTTACAAATATTATATAGACTTAAATACTGAGGAATATTACATGTCAATAAGGTCACATGTTAAATGCTACATTACACGTTTAAAGTTTGTCAAGCACGGAAATAAAACCAAAAAGCTCCTTCTACACATCATATTAAATACAAAAATAAATCAACTCATTCGCATTCACTCCCATATGGAGTCATAGCAGACAGTGAATCTGTACAATACTCTAAAACCATTATGATAGAACCCTTTGTATGCCCAACAACCGAGGGCTCATGAGAAGATTCCAGTGTTCCTACTCTCAGACAGACAATGTTTGCTATAGTGCGTTGTGTGATCAATACCATGACACAACCTGAGAAGTATTAAACATTCACAAGTGTGTTGCAAACACGTTATTGCATTAGGTTTTGCATTCAGGCCCTTAAAAAGAGAACGGCGTTACAGACGGGTGGCTTTAAAGTCTTCGTCCACGCAAATGGCCGGGTTGTCGTACGTCTCCAGGCTCTTCATGCTGCTCCTGGAGATCTTCTCGCCCTCCTCGTCTTTCCGGCAGCAGTCGCTGCACCTGCAGCAGCAGCAGCAGCAGCGGCTGCCGCAGACGCCCAACATGGAGGTCACCGCTTTGTCCCACGGCGCCATGGAGCGCAGCGGCCGGGGCAGGAACTTCCAGTCGCGAAGGACCTTAGGCAGGAAGCGGGGGCTTCGAGATTGCATCACGTTGATGACGACTATCAGGACCGTCAGCACGATGATGGGCACGCCCACGCCCACCAGGACCTGCCAGCCAGCCAGGGACAGGCCGAACACACCCAGGGGCAGGACCAAGAAGCACAAGATGAGGTAGAGGGCAGCGAACCAGCGGTATTTGGCTGTTCGGTTCCCCAGGCCTCTGGCCAGCCGGATGGGCACCCGCATGAAGGGGATGGGATACCACAGCAAGATGCCCATGATGTTGAAGAAGAAGTGGCACAGTGCAATCTAAAGAAACACAAGAATACACAAATATGATGCGGATAAAAATGACATCTTTGGGCTTAGGAGTGGTGTTTTTGTGTGCCTGTTGATGTGTTACTTTATTCACCATTGTTTAAAAACTCAAAAACAGCTAATCATTGGTACTTAGAGATTGTAATTAGTGATCTGGTACATGGTTGACATTTTCTGCTGTCCCCTTAAGGTTATTAAAGTTCCTTTTATATTCTTGTGGGGATTGATAAGACTGTAGCAGCTGCGATATTGCATTTGATAAATAAGGACATCAAAAAACATGTAATGGCATATTTATTATTGTTTAAGGCTATCCAAGCCTATTTTTTATATTAACCCGAACCACAATTTTATCAAACCCTGGCTGTTATGTTTTTCCCGCCTTAATTCTGTTACCGTTTTCTGGCTATCTCAAATCCATGAAATGTGAAAATACGATTGGAACAACTCTTCAACTTGGATCTACGGAATAACCAGCATGACCATTTAACAGCATCTCACCTGCAGGGAGTTGGCTAGCGTTTCCCCCGGGCTCGCCATAGCAGCTAGTATCGACGTGGTTGTCGTGCCGATGTTTGACCCCAGCGTCAGAGGATAAGCTCTCTCCAGGCTAATGACGCCGATGCCTGGTGAAAAAAGGTCGACGTTTTTTAAGTCGTCATATTCCATTTAAAAAGGAAATCAAAGACTGATATCGGTGGGCAAATGGTGCCTTACCAACAAGAGGGGTTATGGCGGAGGTAAATACGGAGCTGCTCTGGACAATAAAGGTCATGCCCGCTCCCACCAAAATGGCAATATAGCCGGTGACCCAAGTGAAGGGGAAGGGGAAGTCTGTGGTAAGAATACAGAATTTAAAAATGCAGGAGGTAAGTCACAGACCTGACCAAGACAGAGTAAGAGAGGGATTCCTGCCAAAATAACAAAAACACGGCATTGTGCCTGAGCTCTCTGCGTCACACACCAGGACTGCTGGACCCGGGGGGGTCAGCTAGAGGCGTCAGCGATGCTGTACCTGTGTAGCTCATCAAGCATCATCACAAAGAAACAGATGTGCTGACTATCAAACAGGAAAGCAGACGGAGAAGGCTCTAGCTCGCTTTTCTTTTCTTTTCTTTTCCGTACCTGTGTTAAGCACCTTCTTGATGACCACGGCCACCTGTCCCTTCAGCATGGAGTTGAGCAGCTTGACGATGAGGATCAGGCAGGTGCAGAGGACGAGCAGCGACAGGGCCAGGAGAATGAGGCCCACCGCCAGGTCCGGCAAGTCCACGTGGGCAAATATGTGTTTGCCTGCAGGGGGATGGTTAAAGACACCAAGGGTCAACTCAGGGCCTGCATGAAGAGATGACTACCGAACGCCTAAAGACTTTGCGCTTGCTATAACTATGCAGATAGCTGCGGGTGGCTTGTTACTTTCTAAGGGCCTCAAGTACACAGTGAAAATATTTCTGTTGGTAAAGTAGGGGCGGGCAACGAGCCATTTTCTAGTCATCGTGAGGCACTCAGGTGAGTCTCTACATCATGAAAAGACCTATTGAGAACTTGGAAAGAGAGGGTATAAGCCGGGGCGCTATCCGTCTGAATGGCGGGCTTTGTCCTGACATCAGAGGCTCTGGAAGAAGGAGGCTGCCATGCTCCGATGGCTCTCTCGTATTTCACTGAGCTCTACTGGATCGGGGAGTAACTACTGTTTTGTAGGTATGCGCGGAGGAAGGTTTACATTTCTCTTGGTAGTCAGTCCAGGTGAAGTTCATCTGGGTCCAGGTCTGGTTTCCTTCGGTCCAGCACACGGCACCTGCGGGGCAGCTCCCCACGGTGACATTCCAGAAAGTCTGAGAGCAAGGGCAAAAACAAGAGACAGACCGGTAATTAATGCGCCCGCTGATGATAATCTGCCCGCGTGGGATTTCTCTCTTTTTACGAAGCATGATCTAACAACTGAATCATTGCGGTTACGCTTGAAAAGGACAATACCGGTCATTAGGAGCAAAAAGCAGAGGCAACCACAGCACCGTGATCTGTTTTCATGTCGGTGCTAATCCCTCTTTCTTTTATGTGATGCAGCTGCTGTTGACTTCTTACCGTGTTGGTCTCGGTCTTGCACCACTTTTTGATGAGACTCTTGTTTCGTGCCTCCGGGTCACCGGTGGCAACCCCAGTGATGACAGATTTGTCCAACTAAGACGGAAAATAAACAACTTATTTCTCAAAAAGGCATCCTATTTGACATCCCCCTCTGCATCTCCCAGAGGGTGTGTGTTTTTCTCCCCTTACCTGGATGATGGAGTCTGTGAGAGGGTCGGTGATGACATTGAGCAGGTCGGGGGCGTTCTCTCCGCTCTGGATGTTGAAGGATTCGATCAGGAGGTGGGTGAGCTTGTACAAGACGCCCGTGGCCACCTCCAGGGGCAGAAGAATCAGCACAGACAGCCAGTTGAAGAAATCGTGGACCGTAGCACCTGCAAAGGCCCTGAGAGTGCAAGAGCGTCCGTGAGCTGAGTCGATATCTGGAGCCGTTTTTCCCCTGTTTCGGGAACTGGTTTTACCTTCGGAACTCGTTGCGGTCTCCGGCCTGCATCATGGCCACGATGGTGTTGGTGACGGACGTCCCGATGTTGGCTCCCATGATGATCGGCACGGCGGACTCGACTTCCAGCACTGTAAAAACAGACGTGGCTTTAAAGTCCTCCGTCCTTACCATAGAAGCAACCAATTATTATTATGTTTGTATTTCTTGTTTGTTATAGATGTACAAAGTCAATGAAACTGTGTGTCTACTTACAGCCAGAGGACACCATGCTGACCACAATAGAGGAGGAGGTGCTGGAGCTCTGAACCAGCACTGTGACTAATACCCCGATCACCAACCCAGCCACAGGGTTGGATAACACAGCGTTGTCCTGGAAGATGTCACCAGCAGCTTTGCCTATAGATACACACACACACAAACACACACATAAACACATGCAACCTGGGTCAACAACAGTAATCTACACATTAAATCAGCACTTTGTGCTGTTATCCAGTAAATAAACCGGGAAGATGGGTGATTACAGCCTGTAATTGATGGTATTAAAAGGAATTTGTTTTTTTGTTTTTTACCTCCAACCAGCTGGAAAGCAGAGCTGAGAATATCCAAGGAGCAAATAAACAAGTAGAGTAATCCGAGCAGAAGAACCAGCTTTACGATAGCAGTCAGCACTCTCAAAACCTTTCCTCTTGTATCCAGATCTGTATGGAAGAGAGAGAAAAAAGCAAAACAAAACAGAAACTCTGAATCAGACTCAGGTTTGTGCGTGGCTCTGTGCCACAAAGGGCATCTTGAAGGCACATCTGCCTCACCTGACCACTGGATCCCGGTGTCTTTGAGATCGGGGAGATCCCAGGGATCTTCTTCGGGGGGGTCCTCGGTCACCAGGTCCAAGGTGGAGTACGCCGGCGGGATGGCTTCGTCTTTAGCCAGCTGCTTATCATCTAACGAGGCGGCAAGCGGCAGGG